AACCTTCACCCAAGCACAAAGTAAAACGTACTGTACGACAATAGCAATTAATTCTTCATTGTTAACATCTTCAGAAAATGTTCATACTACCATCCGATCTAACGGATTAGAGACAACAATCAATCAAGATCAATCAACTATTTCTCGTAGCGTCACGGAACCGATGTCAACTTCCGCTAAATCTACATTATCAGAGGAGATCACGGCATATACCAGTGAAACTACATCTGTAGCTTCAACTAATACTTTTGTCGACACTTCGATGATTTCTGACAAGCAAACAAGTTCTACTATTGCATTGACGAATGAAATATCTTCAATTGATGACACAACTGTTTCATCCGTCACATCCGCTTTTCATTCTACTAATGTTCAACAAAATGGATCTAGTTCATCGATACCGTCAATGACAACAGTTGAAGACGTAACGTCGTTGTCATCAGACACTGTTAGTCACACCGTACTCTTTGATACCACTACTTCAACAGTAACGAAAATCTCCACAACTATTGATAACAATTGGAAAACATCCCAAAATCAACTGCAATCTACTACAGAATATATTAATGAAGAAACAACATCATCTACATTTTCTTTCAGTCGTACTCAAACGTCAACGGAAGCTTCTTCAAACACATTGAAAGACAGTCAGACGATATCAGAAACAAACCTTGATCTATCAAGCGATTCTATTACAGTGCCATTCACCGTACAAGATACTACACGATTACAATTTAGTACAACAGATTCTTCTTTGTTAGGTAATTCGAATATCGACACAACGATTTCAAATTCTTCTCCAGATCGCTTCAGTAGCACACTGAACTTAATCAACGAAATCTCATCTACTACAATGTCAATTTCGAATTCCGATCAAACATCTATACCAACAGCAGTGTTGCTAAACAATGTGTCTTCGACTATTAATACGACGCTGTCAACAGATACAAAACTGAGTAGCTTTCAAGAAACTTCTGCCCTATCCAGTGAATCTGGTTTATTGCAAACATTCGAGGCTACGTCGGTACAATCATTTGCAACCACTGAATCGGTTTTAACTTCAATGGAGAACCAATTAGGATCATCAAGAGATGATCTATTTCATCAGTCAAGTACCATGTCATCGATCGTTTCACGTTCAAATGGTGTCTCATCTACTTCAGACATGATCACGCGGGATATTATCAGTACTACGGAAACCAGTATGAATGCGCAATCATCCGAAGTCATAGCGAGTAGCGAAACACAATCAACAACAGTTTCAATATTATCTAAGGAAACAGACACTATAATTGACTTGAGCACAATGACATCGATAACTCCCTTAAATTCTACACATTTCACTTCACAATCTGCTGATAATTCAACTTCTCTTGTGTCTCAGGATGAAGCATATATTGAAACAACTACATCAAGCATAAACAATTCTATATTGTCTTCAGGTTTGTATAGTTCTACCGAAGATGTATCTGTAACTAAAATCTCAATTATGGAATCTTCACAAAACAATCCTGAAATTGAAACATCATTATCAAACATAGGACAATCGACTTCAAGTTTTGAATATTCACTTGATCATTCGGCATCATCAGAAGCCAGTGAATTAACAAACGAAAAAACTGATTCTTATACTGTCTCACCTACTCTTTCGACAACTTTTAATCAAGGTTCAAATCAAGTCACGGAACAAGAAACACTTTCTATGAGTTCGTTAATTTCAGCATCATCTACCGATCAAACGTCATTGTTACTCTTCTCAGATACGAGCCCAGTAGTCCACATCAATAGTACAACCTCAATATCAGCATTCGAAATATCTACCTCAAATATATCACATTCCACAACCACTGAAAGTGATGTATCAACATCAGAGGACTCTACAAATGCGTCAAAAGATCAAGTTTTAATTTCCCAAACATCGTCACTAATCAACGATCATGAAACAACAAGTAGTTCATACATTGATCAACAAATAATTTCCTCATCTCAAACTCATTCAGATTCCATAACAGATAAAATCACTGGTGTCATCGAAACGATTTCCTCCAGTCAAATACCCACTAATGATCTACTATCACTTCAATTATCAACAACAACCTTTTCTCAAACTGATTTAAGTTCTTCAACAACTCAAAAATCAGTATCAAACGATATCACATCATCTACACATACATCATCTATTGATTCATTGGTAGAAACTACACCATCAATTGATAATGGAAAATCAATATTTACTTCATTATCTACTACAGAATTATTATCTGATTTTACAAATACTATTTCTAGTGATGTAACCGAATTAATCAATTCATCATTGATATTATCTTCTCCATCATTGTCAAATGACACGATAACTACGACGAATATTAAACAAACAGGTGAATACTATTCGATCTATTTAAATATTAAAAGAATCGTTTTTATTTTTAATTTATATATTTAGATAATTTCAATCAATTGCCAACAACTCTTTCATCTTCATCTGATTATACTTCATTGAAAGATGTCATTTCTACTGAAACAACTTCGAAGAATTTTGATAAATCTTTTAGTTCGATTCAATCGACATTAATCTCACATAATCAAACTTCTACGATTCAAACTGAATATAATTCTAGCATGATTAAATCTTCTACTGAATCTATAAATATCACTTCAATATCACCGTAGATTTTTTGCATGTAACGCGCTTGTTTTTAGTTAGATATCAAACAAATATAATTCGATTCGTTTTATTCTTTTTTGCTTCTAGTCAAAAATCGACAATAACAATGACAATGCATATGATGATTATAATGAATAATCAAGATCTATTTTTATATATACAATATACGAAAACCAATAAAAAAAACTATAAGTCCGGTGTGTGTGTGTGTGTGTGTGTAAGAAGTTCATTATAATAAACAAATAAGACTTTTCTTCTTCTTCTTTTTTTTTCTTTTTCCTTTAATAAAATAAAATGAATCATTGAAATAAGTTTTTGTTGATTGAGTACTAATACTATTAAGATTATAGTTCTTTGATTTCAAATTCAGCTTGACAAATGACTTTATATACATATTTCCTGAAACGATTTTTATTATTTGATCATCATACTTGAATGTTTACTAGAGAATAGTATAATACGACCAACAGATTCATGGAACTCGATTTATGAAAAGTTTGAAAGCAAAAATATGTGTGAAAAACAATGTGTGACATTAGCTTTTCAAATTTGAATAAGATAACTAAACTATTTTTCAAAAATTCTATGTAATTCTTCCGTGTGCTAAAACATTTCTATAATTACTAGCAGATATATAAAGCGAAACGAAGAAATAGATGGAATTGTCATTACTCTAAAAAAACTTTCCGTATATTAAAAATATGTTCTTGCTAGTTCTTCACGTTTATCATCAATTACTTTTTCTAATTCTTCTCCTCTTGAATCTCCTCAATTGTTGTTAACACTTTTTTTTTCAATTACTGATTCTGATTCATCATCATATGCAAAAACAGTTTAAATCCGAACGAATCAAGTCTCTTTTGAAACAGTAACCATCAACATATGTTGTTATTCAAAATGAAAAGGTAAATAGATCTTTATATTGGAAGTTTTGCGGTTTTCAAAACTAAAAAATCTGAAAGTACTGATGAATTTGAGAGAATTGAAATTGTTGCAAGTTGTTAAATATATTACCGAACATTTGTTTATACATTAATTACTAGTACCCGAAATATACTTGCTTATTGATGTGTTAAAAATTTAACCAATGCAATTAGATGAGTGACTGATGGGTGGGCCATTCTTTTAAGAATAAATCATTAACTAAGCTGACTTTTTTGGACCTAGTCAATTGAGACCTCTGATAACTATTATGCGTAAGTAAATAATCAAACCAGAAAAGGATGATAAATACATCACAGGGACATGAAAAAATCAAGGCAAGACAAACGTCACGGATGCATAAAAACAAGTCATTAGTTCTATTTATTAATTACTGTCGCTTTTCGAAATAAGATGAATTGTAGCACATCATGCCCGCTATATAGCCATAGCCTTAATATATAATAAATGCCGTTTATTGCACACACAAAAAACAGAGCAAAACATATTAAAACTGGAAAAAAAATCAAAATTTCAACTTCAATTTGACACCAAACGAACTATAATATGAATTTTTCGTAGAATTATAGTCAGGGGTGTCTCGTCTTCGTCAGGATTACGAGTGTCATCAGCTCAAGAGACTGATCGGAAGAGTTTTGCTACAGTTGATCGGATTTTGGAAGGGTTTATAAGGTTTTATTTTGAGAACTGGAGAACAAAAAAACCCGAATGAAACGCAATTTACTTTGCTAAATCAAAACAAAAATTTCTCAAGATTAAAGATAATCTCATGTTGAATACTCCCCTAATTATATTAATTATAATGTTTATTGATCTAAGTTTATTCTTCAAGAATATAAAAGTATATATACATCAATTAAAAACGATGATTATGAATTTCAGTAACATCAAGATTTTTTTTCGTACGTTATCTATTTATAACATTGTTTTAGATTTTCTTCGATAATTTATATTTATATATATATATATATTTAATTGAAAACTATTTTCTACCAATATTCTTTTGTGTATATTTCGATATTTTTGTAATAAAACAATTTACTTTTAATTGTGTTTTGATTCACACTTTAGTCACCTGATCATTTTTTCCACTTTACTCTTCATCAATTTGTTGATGATGATGAATATGTACAATGGTGTGAACATACGCAAGCAACAATACATATATATGTTTAATTGTGCTCGAGGGCTCCGACAATGACAATTGATATGAGACAGAGAATAAAAATAAAGAATTGTGTTTAATTTCGCAGGAAATGAAGTGTTCAATTATCGACACACGTATACATGTAAGAAGCAAAACAAAATAAAAGAAGAAGTTTCTTATTCACAAATCATAATATTAAATCTTCTCTATATAAGACGTTTCTCGTTAATTATTTCTATTGATCAATTAAATTGGCGCATAGCGGAAGAAAAGTCGATTAAAGAAAAAAATAATGAAATCCCCGATAAATATTAAATGATTTGAATGATGACGTCAGTCAATCTTCTTCGTCATATGGTAACATCAAATGTCGGAATAGAAAAAAAAAAATTGAAGTAACATGCATATATCTATAAAACTATCCCGCTAGCTTTCTTTTGATCATCATATTTCATTTCGTTTGATTAACTTAACAATCATCTTTTCAATATTGATACAACGATTGAAGTTAATACATATACATATATATATTCTCTAATTACAAGCTCAATTGAATCATATTAAATAATTGTTTTTACTTCTGTTTCAGAATAATGATCTATAAATTCACTTGGTGTTCCAACTGTTTGTATTGTATCTAATTCATTGATATTATATGATATAATTGGTATATCATATTCATTATTTTGTCGTTTCACTCTTTCATTTTTATTATTATTTTTACTTTTCTTTATTCGTTGACGAATATAAAATATATAGAATAGAATTAAAATAAGAATAATTAAAAATAATAATAATATTCCAATAATAAGATTTAACCAATATTTAAATTTAGTTTTTTGTAAATTTGTAATCGGTGTTTTAATTGTAGAAAATTTTCCACAATTAACTATTGTTAAAAGAATAAATAAGAAATGATAAATAATTAGATTGTTCATAACTTAAATACTAAATTTAATATAACAGATGTAAAATATAATTCGTTGCCGAGGTAATTTATTAATTAAGGAAAACTTAGAAAAAAACGCTGTTTTTTTTTTCTTTTTCTTTTTCTTTCTTGCAATCAAAGATATGTATCTGTCAATTTTTCTTTTTATTTGTGTGTCCGATGAGAAAATTAAACAGCAGTAAAACGTCGTCAGTTAATTCATATATTATTCAATATAGTCATCATCATTTTAGACGAATTAAAATGTCGTCGAGCAGTCACCGAAACGAACACATACAGAAGCTTGAAGGGGCAGAAGAAAAAAAAAAGGAAGTTTCGGACTATGGTTTCTCCTCCTCTCTTTCTTTTCCTATGTACAATATGCACATGTATATGAAATGATTATATTGGTTTGTTGATTACAACATACGTGTCGTCCCTCTTTTCTCATGCACCAATGGAATAGCTCGATGTACTGCTTTTTTTTTCTTCTTTTCTCTTGTCAGAAGAAAAAGAGACAGAGAAAGAGAGAACGAGAGAGAGAGAGAAAGCGAATATAATTATCATCGAACACATATAGTCACAACTAGGGTTTTTTCTTTTTCTCGGTGCACGCTCACGATCAATTCATCAACTACATTTAATAATTGAATAAAAGCAACGAACTTTAAATATATATATATACATACATACAGCGAACTATTTCAATGCGAGGTTTTACAATAGCTTGTATACTTGGAAATAATAATTCATCAACAATAACGAATAATTTAAAAAGAAAAAATTCTGATGATAATGATGAACATCAATCTAATAAACGACAAACAATTGAAAGTAAGAATAAATACCTTCTTATTATTAAGATATAATTTCAATTATTTTCTATTATATTGTATACATGCGATATATCTGTATATAATAAGACTTAATCAACATAGTCTATTTTCTATTGTTCGGAAAAGAAAAAAGAGAATTTCTTATCAATTACTTTAAGAACAATAGACGAATATTATAAATAAAGTAACAAAACGGAATCAATTTATTTATTCTATTTAGCACCTGAAATATCATCTTCATCATCTGTTATGCTTCTTCAAAATTCATCATCAGAAAATAGCAATAATAAATTGTTAATAAATGATGAAGAACGTGATTCATCAACTGAACAACACAGCTGTGATGAAAGACCACGAAAAGTACGACGTAGTCGAACAACATTTTCAACCTATCAATTACATCAATTAGAACGTTCATTTGAAAAAACGCAATATCCAGATGTATTTACACGTGAAGAACTTGCTATGAGATTAGATTTAAGTGAAGCACGTGTACAAGTTTGGTAAGTTACAAAAAAAGAATTGAAATATTTTTTTGATTTTATTATAAAAAGAAAATTTTTACATAGGTTCCAAAATCGTCGTGCGAAATGGCGTAAACGTGAAAAAGCTCTTGGACGTGAAAGCCCAAAGTTCATGGGTCCACATGATTTAGAAACATTCCGTCATCAAATGTCAACATATTTATCCAATGCTTTAACAGGATCTGTTAATGGAACAAATCCTAATAATAATAATGATCGTCCACAAATATCAGTTCCTCCACCACATTATATACCATTTTTAATGGGTCGTATTGATGAAAAAGTTTTACAACGTTTACCAGCAACACCTAATCATTCAAATCTTGATTTACTTTATCATCATCATCATCATCATTCAACACAATCATCAAATATAAATATATCTTCAGCATCACCAACATCGTCATCATCATCGAGTTGTTCAACATCAGATATTCATGAAGATGCATCATCTTATTTAACAACATTTGATCATCATAGACGTGTAAAATTAGAAATACAAGATGCAACTGCTTAATACTTTTTTGTTTTTAAATCTTTCTTCTTTTTCGTTTTTTTTCTTTTTTTCTTTCTTTCTTCTTGTTTTCCTAATATTTACAGTGCTTGTACAGTTTATGTGTATGTCTTATTTTTTAAATATGAAAACAAAAAAAAGAGAACAAAAAGAAAATTAATTTTTAATTAGTATTTCTACATTACAGATAATGATTTCAATTATTGTTTCCCTTTTTTAAGTAAATCAGTTTATGATTGGTTGAATATTTGTGAACATAAAAATTAGTCTCTTGTGGCGAATGAATAAAAAGAAAATCTATGTCAATTGGTTCTTTTCAATAATAAGACATTATATGATTAAATTCATTATAGTATTTCGTGACTTTATTATTCATTTGTATATTTATGATGACAATATGGAAAATTAGACAAGAAATAAACGGAAATATAAGAAAGAAGGTCGAACTTGTAATTTAACAAGAGGAAGTACGGAAATGCATCATCAAAAGAAAAGAGAAAAAAAAAAGAATGAAAGAAAGAAAACGAACGTATATTTTCATTATTCTACTTACACTTTATTTTCTTAAAGAATAGAATCGTTTGCGTGTTTAACAAGAAAGAGTCTCAAACTAATCGAATAATCCTGACTAATCTGTTACTATGAAAGACATAATCGTTTTTCCGCTTCATTTATATCCTATTGGTATATGAATAAAAAAAAAAAAGAAAACGTAACTATATGTTTATATGACAAGGATTTTGATTCACACTATCATCATCATCAATACCACCTGTCGTGTTATTGAATGAATAGAGCTACTCGAGTTAATTGCGGGCGACTTGAGCTTGTTGGAAATATATATATATATACTCTTATTCTTATATACAAGTGGCTCAATATATAATTGTTCTGTCGTTACATATTCTTGTCTCTTTATCCATACACACCCATTGAGATCGTTAATACCCATAATTAGATTCGAGGTTGTTTTATATATATATATATATTGAGTTCCTCTTTCTTTAAATACTCTACTTATACAAATAATAGAACAAAAATGATGATGAGGTCGGTTATATACGAAGACTATTAGAAGCAAATAATTACAGTATATATGTGCCTTCTATATCTTTAATAACATGCTTATTTATGAATAATTCACAAGAAAATAACAGTAATGTGGACATTTAAGATGAAGATAATGTCGTCAAAGAAGAAGCAATTTGAAGCTTGATTACATTTGATGATGACGATAGTAAGAGCAAGTGCCCGATGCCGATGAATTGCTCATATCCGGTATGCTTTTTATTCTTTAATCATCTCCATCTGCATTTTTTTTTGTCATCATCATATTGATGACAATAAAACAAAAAAAAAAAAAGAAACTGAACGAATGTCATCATGGGCAATCGCTAGTTTCAATTGCAATATCCTGTTGTATGTGCATATCACACGATACTCTTCACGTCTCTAATTTTGCTTCATTTCCGTTCTTAATGTTCGCTTTGCTTATCGAGGTGCATGTCCTCATTTATGTCTCATCTAATCAAGCTATTTTGTCTAAAATAAAATTAAAATTAATATATAATTTCTTTTTTTTTTTATATAAAAGAAAGAGAAAACAACAACAACAACAACAACAACAACAACATTTAAAAAGCTACAGAAAATAACGAGCAAAAGCAAGTGAAACATTAATAATAAGAAGACAAGTACCAAAAATTAAACCAAGTAAAATACTCGCACGACGACGTTTAAATAAAGTTGGAGATAAATATTCAACAAATGATGAAAGAATATATTGACCATCTAATGCATAACATGGTACTGCATTAAAAAAAGCTAATGCAAATGAAAATGCACCGAGATATCTAAGAAAATAGAATTTTTATTTGATTTTTTGAAAAAATTTTTTTTTTCTTTTCAATAAACAAATTAACTTACTGAAAAAATAATGGAATATCATGAATAAGCATTGTAGGAAAATAGATATAGTTTGGTTTATATGATTGAATACTAACTAAATAGGAAAAAAAAGATTATTATTTACAATTTATCTTTTTCAAGTCAAGTTGCTTTTTTTTATAAATTGAAAACAAAATAATTTAATTAGATGCTTTTCTTTTATGCCATATTTAATATTTTTAATGCTGTAAGAAAAGGTCAAAAATTTTCAGAAAGTTTAAGGTTATTATGATAGATTTTTCGACCATACAACCTTATGAAATGTCATTTAAAACTATCAATTTACTATACCATAATTATTTAGATTATTGTAAAGTTAAATAGAAGAAAAAAGTATTGTCATTTTTATAAAACTAAGATCTAATTACTATTCCGGTTTTACAGTTCATTTCGAATAAAACTTCATTAGTTTATTTATTTGTTTTAACAATTCATCTTTATTATTAAATCTACAAGAAATCGGAAACCGAAATCTTTTTATTTTTCTTCATTATATCTTTCAAATTATTCTAATCATTATATTTTATTCATAGAAAATTTTTACGGTCATTGTTCTTTACTTGGACAAGATATATATATATATGACTTGAAGAAAAAAAAAAAGAAATAGATGAAGTCTATATGATTAAATTTATATCCACAGGATATGTTGTCTAAGGTTTCTAAGAAAATTACTAAGAATGACATTTTAATGAATTCTATTTCATTTCTTTATAATAACATAACATGAATGAATCTTATTAATAGATAATATGTGTTGTTTCGGTGTTTTTTTTCTTACTAGTTCGATAAATTTCATGAATTGAACCAACAAAAAGTATTGTCGGACCATTAGTATGAGTAATACGTATTAAACGTGTAACATTATCTTGTGAAAATGAATGAACACATGAAGAATCACTATTATAACTTTGACAATCACTATTTATTAAACATGTTGGATGTCTAGTGACTATACGAGCTTCCATACAAGCGCCATTCTATATATATGAATTGGAATAAAATGTTTTTATCTTTTTTTTGAAAAAATGTAACTTACATTATCAGGATATTGTTTGCTATGATAAAGAAAACAATAATTTTTCTGTGATAAATTTTGACAACAATCGTTATGTATTGATTGATTCAATTCTAAAGTTAAAAATTAAGAAACAATTTTATGCATTGTAAATATCTTTGTAAAGAATGGAAATAAAAAAAGACTTTATACTTTTTACTTTGGACGAGATACTTCAATGGAATATTCAAAATAGACAAGCCGAAATCAAAACTTGTAGTCAAAATGCAATATTTACACAGTAATAGTATCTCATAAAAACTTTTTCTGTGTAATCATGAATCTATTGATTAACCTCGATTCAATTCAATTCAGATCAAAGTTATAGTCAAAATAGCTTTACTATTCTCATTTTAGAAATATATTCTGAGAAAAGAAAATCATCCAATGCTAAAAGAATTTTTCGGATATTTCTTATTTAAACACCCGAGAAAAAAACCTATTGATGTTATTAATCAAGTATTAGTTAGGAAAGATTCCACATCATTATAATTGTTTTTCAGCTTTGAAACAATCTTTAAGAAGTATAGAGTTCATCAAACTTTCTAAGAATAAACAGGGAACCATGATAAATTTGTGGCATATCATTCTTCGTCTACTGACATTATCAAGACATCAAAATACAAATGTTTTCCTGTTGAAAAGTTTATCAAGACTTTTTCCGAGTTCAACTTATTTAATCTTTCTCGTAGGTGAATCACCACTGTCTACAAAATTGATTCTTTGCTTATTCTTCATGGTATATCTTCTACATGATATTTCCAAAACAGACTTTGTTTTCACATTTTAAAATATTCAATTTTGACATATACATATATACATATACGTATGTATGAGAAGTCTCAATGGACTAGATTGAACTGAAGAAACTCAACCCATGGTTTTTTTCTTGAAAAGTACTCCACTTATGGGTCACTCATCCAACTGCATTTTATAAATTTTTAACATATCAATGAACAAACATATTTCTAGTACCAGTAATTGATGTATAAAAAAATATTCGATAATATATTTGACAACTTGTAAAACTTTCAATTCTCTCAAATTCATTAGTATTATCTGGTTTTTTAGTTTTGAAAGTCCAAAAACTTTCCGACATAAAGATGTGTTTGGTGTTTTTCACTTTTAATAATTTCATATGTCGATGCCTGTGTTTTTCGAAATAAATTTGATCTGTTTGAATGCNATCACCCCTATCTACAACATTCATTCTTTTCCTATTCTTCATGGTATATCTTCTACATGATATTTCCAAAACAGACTTTGTTTTCACATTTTAAAATATTCAATTTTGACATATACATATATATGTATGTATGAGAAGTCTCAATGGACTAGATTGGACTGAAGAAACTCAACCCATGGTTTTTTTCTTGAAAAGTACTCCACTCATGGGTCACTCATCCAACTGCATTTTATAAATTTTTAACATGTCAATGAACAAACATATTTCTAGTACCAGTAATTGACGTATAAAAAAATATTCGATAATATATTTGACAACTTGTAAAACTTTCAATTCTCTCAAATTCATTAGTATTATCTGGTTTTTTAGTTTTGAAAGTCCAAAAACTTTCCGACATAAAGATGTGTTTGGTGTTTTTCACTTTTAATAATTTCATATGTCGATGCCTGTGTTTTTCGAAATAAATTTGATCTGTTTGAATGCATATTGTTTTGTATATGATGATGAATCAGAATTGATAGTTGAAGAAAAAATATTAACAAAAATTGATGATTAAGAAGTTGAGCCCAAAGAAAGTTTTTTAAGATGATGACAATTTTATATTTTTCTTTGTTGTTCATTGAAGAAATATTTTAGCGAATGAAAGAATTACATGAGATTTACAAAAAAGAGAATTAGTGAAAATACGCAACATATTTTGGAAATTTTGTATTTTATTCAAGACTCGACCAAGTCGTTAAGACTTCTCATATATATATATATATATAATATTTTTCATAATCATACCAATATGACTTGAATGAAGTTGTATTTCAGTTTGTGTTAAACAATATCCACTACTTTGATGTGGATGTCGATCATTAATTGAGCGTAAACATTGATACCAATCGTTAGATGTATTTACTGTACATGCATCAATGGATTGAATTATTGAATGAACTGGTAAAAGATCACGTATTGGTGAATCCTTAAAAATGAGAATAATACAAAAGAAAAAACAACTATTTAATTTTCTTTTTCTAGAAAAATTTACTTTTGCTACACGATATACAGTTGCTGCTTCTGTATAAAAATATCGAAGAAAAATAGGATTCATAAGAAGAAATACAACAGCAATAGCAACAAGAATCATATTATGAAAAACACCAGCACAATAAATTCTTTTAAAAAACAAACAAAAATAATAATTCAAGTTTTATTTAATAAAACTTTTAAAACCTACCTCAATTGTCTTACAGCTGAAATCATTTGTAATTGTTCTTGATGTAAATCAACATAAGCACCTGGATAAAGAAGAAATACAAAATATCCACAACCATTTACACGAATTTGTTCACTATAAAAAAGAAAGAATATTATCTAAAATTTCTTTTTCTTTCATATAAGGCTCCTCGCCCTCAAATATTGATCGTTTCCCAGGTAAATTCAAATCGTATGAAATATCCAAAAAATGTTGTGAGGACCAAAAATAGCTCATTTGGCAATCGAAGATTCTCTGTAGGCCTTCATTCTATAGACTTAATTTTTGTTGTTGCAAGAGTATGTCAGAATATTAGGGCATGACATACATAACCCTTTTGCTATTCTTACTTTTCAAGGGATGAAAAGTTCAATGTCTCGAAAAACTCAAATAATAGTCTCTAATTATAGAAGTATTCTTTTAAATAATAAGAGTAACAAAGCTTAATTTAAAAAACGGGCTCTGCCATATCCTCGCACCTTGACATGGTCTTTCAAATAAAGAAAACATTATCCGTTACAATGAAACTCCTTCGACAACTCTGGGATGCGCAGTTTAAAAAACATAATCAAAAACAGAAGGAGAAAAATATTTTCTAGTTTATCTAAAAAAAAAAACATATTTTTCAAGCAGAAAATGACGGAAACTTTTTTTTTGAGTTAACGAGGCTTCAAATAAAGAGTTATGTCATTTTTGAAGGATTAGTGCATAAAATAAGACAAAAATAAAAAATACTCACGCTGAAGCTGCTACAGCATGTCCAAATTCATGAAATATTGTACACAAAAGTAATGCCAAAAAGAAATGTGGCATTTGTTCCAACGGAACATTAACACCAGGAATCTAAATTAAACAAATTTTTGTTTTTTATTGTTTTTTTTTTGAAAATTGAAATATTAATTCTACAAACTATAGGTTGAATTAATAATTTATCGCGTTCATCTTCTATTGCATCATTTTGTTTACTTGAACTTTCTGTGAATGATCGATCATCATTATTTGTACTTATCGTAAATCCTTTATGTGATGGAATTCTTCGTTGTAATTCGTATATATATTTAATAGGTAAAATAAGTAAAGTTAAACAAGCTGTTAGAGCTGTTGCAAATGCAACAAGAATTCCTATAGTAAACCAAATTTTCCATAAACGAGAATTACTTGTACCGATACGATAAAAAACACGATTCAATGAAGTTGTATAAAAACCAATACTCAATATTGATACATGACAGCCTAATGAACGAAGTAGGCGGATATATGGACGTCTCGTATCATGATAACGCTAAAGATTTAATGAGAAAAAAAAAATTTTTTTTTTCTTTTAGAAAAATTTATGAAAAAGAAATAATTATACCAATAGAAAATGATTGATTAAATAGATAATACACCAAATAACAAGAATTTGAAGAAGAAAACGAACAAATATCATTGATGATGCGTTAAAACGCATCTTGGAATGATCATGATCCTTGAAATAAATAAAAATCACATTCCAAATTTCAAGAAAAACAAAAAGAAAGAAAAAAAAATCAATAATGAGAAATGCAAATAATTATTTTTTTGACAATATTCTAATAAAGAATCTTATATCGATATTTGCATTTAGTTAAGCAACAAGACGGAGAATTTTTACTGGATTAAATGCACATTTTCAAAACCTCTATAATCAATAATTGAACACATAGAAACAAAGATGATGCTTATCCATTTTGACAAATTTATCCTTTTCGATTGAAATCGATAACAGAAAAAACATCGGTCGCTAATTTCTTTTCTAAATTTAATCTGTCTACCAATATTTTAATTAGTCTTTTTGTTTTCATGCTTTTTTTTTCTTCTAAACCTATTAATGTATGTCTTGAATGATTTATTATTATTTTTAATGATAATTGATTAATAACTTACGACTATACTTGGCATATTGGTAATCGAAATAAAATTTAAAAATCAATCACATTTGTCGTTGATAGATAATCGATTAATAAATCGATAATACATGTCTTCTAATTACTCGATAATTATTTTTTCTGAAGAAATGATCAATAGATTAAATTAAGAAATAGAAATCGAATTTATTTATATCCAAAAATTTTAAATAAAACAATAAGAGCAAAAATCGATTTCTTATTTATAAAAAGAAAAAAATTATTGCAATAAAAATAAAAATAAAAACAAATAATTAGACTCAAAAATATATATATATATATATTTATTGTTTTTGTTGTTCTTCATATGATTTTGCTAAATACCGATTAAAATTATAAACTGATGATGACGATGTTGGTGATTGTTGTTGAAAATTTACATTAGATGAAGTTGTGGCATTTCTATTTGTATTATTTAGTGGTTCACTTTTTCTTAACATTGATGTTTGTTGTGGTGAGGGCGAACGATGTGTAAAAAATGATTCATCATCATTTGTTGGAGGAGCTGATGATGAAACTGTACCTTTGACAATAGGTAATGGTGGTGTTGTAGAATATACAGATATATACAATGGAGCTGTTCGTACAATAGCTGGTGAATATTGTTGTAATGATAATGCTGATGATGAAGATGATGAAGAATTTAACATTGATCGTTGTGAATTATTATTAATTGGAGGTGAAAAATGTTCTGTTTGAAAGACAGGTGAGGATGCATCTTCAGATAATGAATTAGGTCTATCAAAACAAAAGCTTGTTGATCGTGATGATGGTGAAGAAAGGTCTTCATCACCAAGAGGAAAAACATTATTTTCAGAAGGTCGCTGTGACGATGATGTTATTGGTGGTGAAGAAAACGATGGAGTTTTATCATTGGATGTTGAAGATACAACAGAAATTGGAGTTGAAAAACCACCTGATGAATTAAGCATTAATGATGGATGCTTATATGAAGATCGAACAACCTAAATATTTTATGAAGAACAGTGAATCGAAACTTCAACCATTATTCATTAAGACCTTTCTCTTCATACTTACTCTCGTGATTTATAAGTAAACAAAAGAATAAAAAATGTCTTAATCTATCGTAATCATTTAGAGAAAACCAAAAACAATAGTTTAATATAAAATAATTCTAACCAATGACACAAAAGTCTTAAAATAAAATATTCGCTTATTTTTCGACCACCAACAAAACCAATGATTAGAGTCAGAAGCAGTTAATTACAACAAGAATTTTTTGTTATTTTCAAATCTATATTAAAATTTTCCTTTTTGGGGGTAAAATTTAAAAGCTATTAGTAAAGTTTGTAAAAAAAAAGTTCAAAACTGTGTCTATACAAAGCAAAATAGAAGTTTTTGCACGGTCTTTAGTTTGTGCCTTGGAACTAGGTATGTGATAAGATAACAGGATCAACCCAAAAGTTTTGAGTTTCAAGATTTGAGATTAGAGTTTCAGCTTTCTCTATTGAATTTAAAGGAAGAAAGTTATAGTTTGACATTTCTTTGTTAGAGAAAGGCTATTTTTTTTTAAACAATGATCAGAGCATCTTCATAAATCTACAAAATTTCCGTTAAGAATTACTCAGTAACATAACTGTAACTTACCATATCTGGCTTTAACTTTTCAATGAAGGTTAAAGTGCGATATCTAACTCCGACTATCTTTAATCAAGCTTTATCAACTACTATTATTTCCATTAAATATTCTTTTTACAACCGAAAAGCTCAGTTTGAAAGTTTTAATCAGTGGTCGATATAATTTGTTTTCGTTTACAAATAATGCAAAGTTACTAGTTTGTTGCAGTGTAATGGTAACTTTTCTAAGCTAGTACTATTACGTGAAGATTGTTAAACGAAGTAGACCACTTTATTACTGTAATCAGTGCCTTAATTCAACAGAGAAGACCACAGCCACAACTGATTCAGATCTCACACCCCCAAACCCAATAGTTTTCGTATTGGTATATGCCTACTTGGAATAACTTCGACTCAACTCTATTGTAGAGTATTGAATTCGGTACAAAATAAGATATTACAATAAGTGAAATCAGTATGTTTCCACTAAAGATCTAATTTCACTCTACAAAAACTGAAGCATTAAAAATTCTTTCGCATATTGCATTCGTTTGGACTTCAATCAAAATATAAAATTGAATAAAATAGTATTTTGTACAACTATTATTCTGAATCTTTTGATAACAATCTAATGTTCATTGTCCTATATGATTCTAGAAGAAAATTCCAAACACATAAGTCTCATTCTACTTCACTGGGTCTACCTCTTAACCAGTTGTTTTTAAGTGACAAAACAAGAACAAAGTGAGTAAATATTTTGTAGAAAGATTTCCGCACTATAGATTACTATTAAAAAAAAATCTATTAATTAGTTTCTCATATATCTTACTTCTTGTGTTTGATTATCATTCAAAATTTTACTATTAATAAATATACGTTGATGAGAATGATCATTTGATGAATCTGAATCTGACGATCTTGGTGCTGTATGAACAAAAACATTTTCTTGATTAGGTTTTTCATATGACGGTAGTATTTGTATAGGTGAACTAGATGTTCGATGATGACCTTTACTTGGTGAGATTTTATCTATATGACTAATAAAATGATTTGTAACTGATTTTATTGGATAAGCATTTGTTTCTGGTAATGATAATAATGATGTTGATGACGATGAACGTGTATGACGACTAACAGATGATAAATCAATTTGTTTATCATTATCAGCTAAATTCTATAACAAAAAACAAAAAAGGAATTTATGTAAATTTATCTTTTTTCTTTTGCAAATAATTACTTTATCTTTTATTGATTCAATATCTGAAATACTACTATTATGTGAAATAGATTTTTGCCATGATACAATTGATTCTTTATCGGAATCATTTTCACTATCACCAGCTGAACTTATTTGTGTTTTTCGATGATGTTTAGTATTTGATAATTTATGAGGACCAATAATTGGTGTTGTTGCTGGTGAACATTCACGTGAATCAACAAAACCTTTATTAAAACCAGCTATTTTTGAATCATCAATATTAAAATTAATAGCTGCTAAACCCATTTTATTCATCCATTTAGCCATTTCATCACGTGTTGAACAATAAAAATATTCACATTTATAATTATTATTATCATCAGCAACACGAAAACCACTAGAAAATAAATTTTATCTATTTATTAAGAAATTTTTCAATTTATTTCTTATTGTACTTTTTTTTTCTTTCTGGTGCTGGTGAAACATTTTTTCCTTCAAGTTTTATGTCAAGCTCTTGAGTTTTATCCTAAATTAAGGACAAAAAAAATTCGAAATTCTTCTTTTTTTTTTTTTTATAAAACTTACGTCTTTTGATTTAAATATATATAAAGTACCACCTTTTAAAACACACCAATAGAGTTTCCATGGTGAAAATGATATTGTTCCTTTCGGTAAATAACGATAAAGAAAACCTTCACAATCACCTTTACCCAAGTCTTTACATGAAATTTTTTTATATAATGCTAAAAAAAAAAACATAAATAAATAAGTAGATACTACAGATAATCTAAATTTAATCATTGAGCATATATTGTATTCCTTTAGACCAAAACATAAAATAACTATGCCGAAGAAAAGTTTACCTTTTTAATTTAATTTATTTTTTAAAAAGATACTAGAATAATAGAGATTTTATATTTTTTTCTTACTGCCATTAATCTCATAGAAAGATTTTATTTAAATTACTTACGTGTACGTTTTGGACGACGTCGTTCTACAGAATCAGAATTCTAAATAAAATAAAATAAAATAATTATTTTAAAAAATAAGTAATAATCATTTTACTTTTCGGCTATCACTATGATTTAATGGTGGTTTATTTGTTACAACGTTAGAATTATTATTATTATTATTACCAAAAATTGAACATAGTTCCATTTTTAATTCATTTCGAAATCTATATAAATACAAAAAACGAATTATGCCTACTTTTATTTGTCTATATTAATATATGACTTACGTCGTGGCTTTTCCAGTATCACCACTAGATCGTTTTGTACGACCTTTTTCTGATGACTCTGATGACTAAGAAAAAAGAGTTTAGAGATGTATAGAAAGATAAAAGAAAAAATATGTATATATATTAAAATTTACTTTAAATATACTTGAAAATGATGAGATTGTTGATGATGTTGTTTGTAAACTTGTTTGACTAGCACTTTTATTCATTGATGCTCCTGATATTATTGGAGGTGATGAAGATATTTGATCATCATATAATGATGATGTAGAATTATTCGCTGAATTTTGATTATATATTGATTCAATACGTTTAATATTAACTAATTGTGGATGATCTTTATTTGTATGATTATTCATATCAGCAATAACTGATTTAGTATCTTGTCGAGGACGAAAAAGTGTTGAAATATACGATTCAATACCCTAAAAGAAATTATTGATGAATTAAACATCATAGAAAATATTCTATGGATAAAGTCAGAAATAAGAAAGAGAAGTTCTATTAATGATTGTAATATATGATCGTATAAAACATCATACTTTTTTTTTGTTTAGCACTGTGCTTGTTAGACAAGGGAGTGTATCATCATCTTAGTAATTTAGCTTTTTCTTTTAATACATATGGATGTATTTTTCTTTCATCTGTAATTATTTCGCGATGGTTGTTTTATATTAATATCTACTTAGTGAAGTTGTATATTTTTATACCTACTAGATTTATTTTTTTATTGTTCTTTTCTCTATTTACTTATTTATATCATTAAGACTAGAAATATACGAGGCCATATTCGTGTAGTCTAGGGTCTAATGATTTTGTTTTGTGCTCTGTCTCGATCTTGGCCTAGAAAAAATTTGCTTACGACAGAACTGTCCGAACTGATACCTGCCGTTTCAATTCATATTGTGTTCACAAGAAGGCCTTGTTAAAACTAGAAAAATATCGAAATATTTGGTGTCCATAGACATCTGAAGCCGAGTTATGATCGATGTACTGAATTTTCGATCCAACCTTCAATATTTATCGAAAAACCAAATAACGGAATTTTGATCTGAAATTTTGACCGTATGTAGATTTGATGACTCTGAGATCAGTCTAAAAGTTTCAATCTAAAATAATATTCTTTTTTCAAGATATTGAATTTTCAAATCAAATCGATTTTTGAAGCATATCTTGACGAACGATCAACTTTTTTTTGTTTTGGAAACTCAATATTTCAACCAAAGAACATTCTTTTCAACTGAAAACTTCAAGATATTTCCAGAGTTATTAGATCTACCTATGGGTAAAATTTCGAGTTGAAATTCTATGATTTGACTTTTCGCTAAACATCTAAAATTAGACGGAAAATTCAGTTAAAAATTTATATGTCGAAAAGATTGGTGAAAGTGTTGATAACTTAGGAGGTTGATGAAAGTGAAAATTTTTCAAGACTATTTTTAGATACTCATATAAGACAATCTTGACTATATTACCATCTTTCTTTGACTTTTCGGTGTTGATTGATTGGAACTAGCAGATTGCGGTCGTTCAATATCTAAAATATAAATAATTTAAATTTTTTTTCTAGCTATTTCTTTTTATTCATACTCTTTCGTTTTGAATCTAATTTATTTGGAGATGCCGATGACATTAAAGGATTCGTAGATACAGGTGACTCGGATGCTAGTTCACTGTGATTAGAATTTTCACTGCTTTCATATACATTATTACTATTAACAAGTGTTTCTGTCAGATCAGGTAATGATGAATGTTGATCACGTTTGATTTGTGAAGAACGTTTACTTTGATATAGAGTTTCATCATCACTTTCAATGTCAATCTCCCTATATAAACAGAGAAAAGAAATCAAAAATAATGAGAGAACATGATAAAAATCAAATAAGTTTTCTTAAACGGATAAATAAAACAACATGTAGACGAACAAATAACATATTTAATACGTGTACAATATGAATAGTCTGTCTACCTGTTCTTCTTCTCGAATGCTATGATAAGTGACAAATAAATTTTAATAAAAATAAAAACAATACATAAATGAATGATTATATTAATTACCCTTCTTGTTCTAACAAGATAGTTCGATTTTCTTGTGTTTGTTGTTTTCGTCGTTCTAAAGCACCACGAGCACGTGAACGTCGAGGATTTTGTGGACCATCAACAAGACGTTTTGTATATACTTCATCATCATTATGTCGAGGCATTTTTTTAACTAATAAACAAATTTCATTTGATTGTGTTGATGTACGAAGTAATTCATTGAAATGTTTTGGATCCCAACCGATCTTTGAAACAAACAAAAATAAGATGAATTTCAAGATGAACAGTGGAAAATGCCTGTTTTACTTTGCTTTTTCGATCTTCGTATGTTGATTTATGAACATTTTATTCGATTTTCGCCCTATCAGGCAGAGAAGCGCTGAGATTCTGAATGATCGAGTTCAGAGCGGACGTTTTGTTCATAGAAAGACCTTATAGTAACTAGAAACAATCTTTGAGCTAGGACAAACGTATCTTTATTGAGATATCAATTTGTCATACGTATGTCCTTATTTTAAAGCATACCTCTAAACAGATATTTCTTTAAAATGGAAATATCTTAGCAAAGATCTGTTCGTTCTGGCTTAAACTTTGAGGTTTCTTTTAGTGACAGTAAGGTCTATCGGTGAGCAAAATATCAGTTCGAAATTTAATTATTCACGCTTTGTGCGATTCTATGCTCATAAGGCGAAAATTAAAAAAAATGTCCATTACTCAACTAGGGAAGACCGAAAAGATGTAAATAAAGCAGACTTTTTCAACCACTCCTCAGGATCAATCGAATAACAATTGTCTCAAATGAAGATTAATTCGATAGTTGGGAGTATTCTGTTGTTAGAAGATAAAATACTTAAGAAAAATCTGTTTCTATTCCTTATATCAAAAACAGAAAACTAATTTGTAATATGAATATCCATCAAATACAAGTAAACTTGGAAGTATTTGTTTCATAATCTTTCTAGATCGAAGTTTGCTATGATTTAAGTATGATAAATGAAGAGATTCAATTTTAATACACAGTGTTTTTTGAAACAACATTGTAACGGGTGGACCATAATGCATTGGAATAAATGTAAATATAATTTTCCTCTTATTTAAATTCATATATAAAAAATATAGAGAATTTCCAGCTTTAAAAAACTAAGAACTGTACTTGTATAAAAAAAAAATTCATCTCTACACCATAATCTAAACATTTAGTAGATCCTCTATTCGGCTAAATCACTTTGGGAGCCTCTGGAATATATTCTTCATGATGGTTTTGGGAAGATTTTTAAACAATACAATGTTTCTTTTCAGTTAAAATTCATTTGTAAGGTCTTTATTTGGATTGAAAAAAAAATCAGAATTTCGTTCTTTACAAGATTAAGTATCTGTTGAATCAAATTACGGCATTTTTTTGCCAAAATTCACGAAAAAACCGAGCATAGCATGAAATAAATGAACATTTTTTTTCTTTTTTCATTTATTGTGTTTTAAATGATAACATGAAGCTGTCGTTTATAGTTTTAACAGGTAGATAATTTCATCAAGAATACTTTCATATTTATTCGAAATCTAGTAAATTTCTCAATAGTGATGTCATACCAGTAGGAACATACATACTATCTCAGTATGCTAATTTCCTTGGAAGTAAAAAAAGTTCTTTGTAACAGTACAGTACACAGTTTTTGTAGAGATTAAAATTCTTCATCTTTTGATGTATAAATAAATATTTTACAAGATTAGTAAATGATTGAATAATTGCATTTACAATTAATCTAAGGTATTATAACCCATCCGTTACTATTATCTTTAAATTCATACAAACAAAAAAAATTGTGATTTCATGTATTATTTTTCTCTAGTATTTTAAGTTCTTTTTCTATTAACTTCTGTTTGTCAAGAATAACATTAGATAAGTGATAATTGTTTTCATGGATTTCTCTTATGAGAAAAAAAAATCTGTTTGAAAATCTTATTATTCTATCCAGATGATTTTAATTCACACACAGTCGATTGATGATTCAACTTTTCGTACAAAGAAAAAAAAGCAAGATGAATCAGAGAAAATTTTATCGAGGTTTCTTCTTTTGTGTAATTGCAAAATATGTTGCAATTACAAAATAAAAGTTAATTCATTTTTCTTTACGAAATTTTTGCTGAGGAAAAAAAAAATAATTTATTCTAATTTTATTTGCTAAGAAAATCATAAGACTGACAACGTGCTATATATATGTATATAATTTCCTAAAAACTATTATTTAAAAAAAGAAAATAATCAACTTACAACAACTTGATTATTGATTTCTATAATCTCATCTCCAATATTAATTGCACTGAAACCTGATCCCATAAAACTCATAGCCTGAAATAAATTCCAATAGATTAAATAATCTAATCATTCAATTCAATTTACTTCTGTCTCAATACTTGATATAACATGAGTAAAATCAGGCATTGTTGTATATTCAATAGTCTTAATAAATAGAGAACAATTTAATTAATTATAAAAATAGCTTTATTTCTTACCACATCATCTTTAATTGGACGTCGTAAATGGACTCGTGTTAAATAACAATCTGATGAAAATAGGGAATCTTTATTTTGTCGAACTAATCCTATAGCTGTTGTTCGTAATTCACTAATCTACATAAAATTAATTAAACAATACAGAAAATCTCTCAGCTGATGTCAAGCGCTTTCGACTTCGTCTTTTTCGCTTTGCATAAGCCTATATAAGACTAAAGAAATCCTAAAATTGTTCGTGCTTATGATTCTTATGCTGCCAATGTTTGATGCTTTTTCAACTCATTTCTATGCCACGAAGAGATCTATTGATCTACTGTGAATGATGTTTCAAGGCGCTATGTTTTCATCACTTTTACAAAGACAATTATTCATAATACCACTTAGTTGCCTTTATTTCATATGTGAATTAAATATTCTACCCTTGTTGAGTCATTAATGAAATTACTAGAGAAAAGAAATGAGTAAAACGCCATTCTCATCGTCATAACCGTAATGTATGTTTCAAGAATAAAGACTTATTAGAATTTCCTTAGTATTATTAAGACTTGATTATAGCAAAAAGATGAAGTCGAAAGATTCGGAATCAATGGAAGTAATATCTATCAAATGACTCCTCAATATAAAATTTATTTACTTCTAATATTAATTTCGATTTTGGCATATTAATATGGTCAACAAGTCGTAAATTACGAAGTAACATACGTATCTGAACTAAAACTTTGATTATTTTTCGACGCAATTCAATATATTCAATATTTTCAATAAATGGTAATCTAATAAAAATCAAACAATTTCAAATAATTACTCTTACAAGTTTAATCAACACTTTACCTTCCAAGCCAATGACAAGTAACGACAATTGTATCCGATAAATTACTAATTGATGCATAAAATTCCGGTGAATTCAATACGTTACTATTATTTGATGATTCTTTATCATCAAGTCGTTTTATCATGTTATGACACGTTGTTGCTGCACAATGTATATGCATAAAGAGTAAAGCAAGTGTTTCACTAGTTAAACGACTGACCTAGAAAATTAGCATATGAATTTATAGAAATGATAATATACCATAGAAAATTATACAAGTGTAAGGAGAAGATCAATAGATTGTATTAAAATAAGTTGTTGATCAAGTTTTTTTATTCCCATACGAATAAGATCTTCACGAAGAAGAAGAGTTAAAGCTGTACCATCAATATTATGTTTCAGAAATAAATCACTTATATTATCTTCAATGCCAGCAAGACCTTGACAAATAAAAACAAAAACAAAAACAAAATTTTTTTTTTTTTCTTTAATTATTTTTTGTTTCTCAATAACCTCCAATCCATCTTGCTACTTCATTTGCTTCCCAACGAGAAACCATTGTTGCTCGTTCTCGTGTTAGCTTAATTGAACCACTATTATAATGTAACGATTGCATTTTTTCAACCAGGTCTACTCCTTTTTTTGTTTTTTCTTCTTTTCAGTCACCGTCAAAACATTCGTTGTCGTTATGTATATGATTGGTTTTCTGTTTTTTTTAATAAATAAACAAAATTTTTTTACTGATAGATAATTATCTAATCAAAATAAAACTTGTCATTTTCTACATTTATGATTTGTAATGTCAATCAAGCAATCAATAATAATCAAATTTTATACTAATTATCGAAAATTTGTCTTTGTCCTTGTTTTTTTGTAATAAAATTTCTAAATACATATCAAAATAATAAGTAGTTTTATAGAGGGCGCTTTTCTTTTTTTTTTTTTGACATATGAAAATCAGAGTAGACGTTATTTATGTAATTTTTTAGTTTAGATAGTATTCGTTTGTTGATACGAAAATGGTAAGTCCTGTTTGTTAACGATATATTAGTGTATATAAATGTATTTTCTAGGGTGAACGAAAAGGTCAAAATAAATATTATCCACCAGATTTCGACTGGCGAAAACATTCATCTCTAAATGCTTACCAAGGTGTTCATGCTCTCCGTGAACGTGCACGGAAACTCGATCGAGGTATTCTTATTATTCGGTATGATAAAATTTTTATTACAAAAAAACAAAAACAAAAGAATTTTATTGAATAGATTTGAAATGCCATATAATATATGGTGTAATACATGTGAAAATCATATTGGCATGGGTGTACGTTATAATGCTGAAAAAACAAAAATTGGAAATTATTATACAACACCAATATATCAATTTCGTATGAAATGTCATTTATGTGATGGACATTTTGAAATAAAAACAGATCCTAAAGTGAGTTTATCAATAATAGTTAAATCAGGTTTTTCTTTCATCAAAAAATTAGCTAATAAGAGAAGTTTGTCCAGTGAATAATTGTATGTGCTATGAATACACTGAAAACAGTTTGTTCTTTTTATCTTATTGCTAAGGAAATACTGTATTTTCTAAACGAATGCTGTGATACTCTTCAGGAACATTAGGAAAGTTTATTTTCAAATTTCGATATGAAACTTTTCATAGTGATTGACTTCATCAAGAATATTTTATCGTAAAAGTTTTAGTTATTTTCATTGCCTCTATCCTAAGATGTAGCTATGATAAAAGCTTGTCTTTTACACTGCGTATATAAATCGACAGATTTGATATACTTATTTTAGGAAACGAGCAAATCAAAAGACCAGAAACTATAGCTATAAACTATTCTGGTTAACATCTGTCTTTGTACAAAGTTTCAAGTCGAAGTTGGAAAACGAATTTTACTAATGCTTTTGAGGGGAACTACAAATACAGTATCTCAATAGCTATAAACTAAGGATTTGAATTTTTTTCAAGGTATACATGGCTCATTAGGGTTTACACGATACATTTAGTTTGTACTCCAAAACGATTAACAACTTGGAGGACTCTTCTCGTAAGATTCTTTTTAGAAATAAATAAGGAATCGATCTTGAAAGTTTACAGAAGATCTTTAAACTTCATCAATAATTCTTATAGTTTAAAAGTANGATAAAAGCTTGTCTTTTACACTGCGTATATAAATCGACAGATTTGATATACTTATTTTAGGAAACGAGCAAATCAAAAGACCAGAAACTATCGCAATAAACTATTTCGGTTAACATCTGTCTTCGTACAAAGTTTCAAGTCGAAGTTGGAAAACGAATTTTACTAATGTTTTTGAGGGGAACTACAAATACAGCATCTCAATAGCTATAAACTAAGGATTTGAATTTTTTTCAAGGTATACATGGCTCATTAGGGTCTACACGATACATTTAGTTTGCACTCCAAAACGATTAACAACTTGGAGGACTCCTCTCGTAAGATTCTTTTCAGAAATAAATAAGGAATCGATCTTGAAAGTTTACAGAAGATCTTTAAAATTCATCAATAATTCTTATAGTTTAAAAGTATTGGATCGATTCAGTTCTCAAAAAAAAAAAAACAGAAAACACTCATCGATCTTATCACTAATCCTTGAAGTTATTAATTCAGCCTTTGTTCTCGTTTAAATATTCTTGTTTTCTTGTACATATTATATACTTTCAAGATTTGAACATTTTCTCATAAAGAAATCTTTTATAAGAAAAAATTCCCAATATCACCTGTTCTTGCTTAATTTATCATCAGGTTTAAAATCGATGCCAGTGATAAAGACTATCCGATAAAGACCTCTAGGAAAAAGGAGAAGGCGAAGATCATCAAAAGTTCGGCCGGGATAAATCACATGCATCTAGCCGTCCAAACATTGATTACCTGTTTTTATCGGTTTTTAAGCATTTTCAAAAGAGTAACATCCCAGAACTCAATGACGCATTGTCTACAAACAAATCACATATTATTTATTGAATACAAAAAATAAACAGCTTATTTAAGCAAGTAAACTTTTTCTAAAATAAAAAAAATATATTTCTGATGGACTAATCTTTCGATTGATAAGTTTACTGTTAAAATAATCTTTCAATTTTTTAATAGGCTCGTGATTATGTTATTGTCAGTGGAGCACGTCGTGAAGAACAACGATGGGATGCATCACAAAACGGACAAATTGTTATGGAATGTAAGTTGATCAAAATTATTGAATAATTTTTAACAAATTGACAATTATTTTGGTTTAATAATTTTAAGCAACAGAAGAAATGAAAAAACTTGCAACTGATGCTATGTTTAAATTAGAATATGATGGTAAAGATGCAGCAAAAAAAACAAATAAATCAACACCAGATTTAAATGAACTTGAAATGCATCAAAGTGCATGGAAAGATGATTATATTATTAATTATGTTTTAAGAAAAAATTTACGAGTAAAAATTAAATATCTTCAATTATATTATTATTTATAATTTTTATTCTTATTTTTTTTTTTGAAGCAAGCTAAACGTGAAGATCGTTTACAAAAAGAAGCTGATGATAGTGTAAGAAAAAAAGCATCAATTGATATTCCTCTTTTACCTTCAAATCGACAAGATGATCGATTAGCTAAACTATATCGATTAGAATCTCTTCGATGTATGTAAAAAAATAAATAAAATAAAATTCCTAATTTAAGATTTTTTTTCTATCTTAGCTGCCGAACAAACTGAAATTGATCGACGTGGAGCAATTGATCAGCAACAAGTGTTAAAAGGAACATTACAGACACCATCGGAAATTAATTGGACACCAGCAACATTTACAAGCAATAAAAAACAACTTTCATCTGCTTTAGGAATTGTACGAAATGTTGATAAACCTCAGCAATCATCTGAGACAATAGTAAAATCTCTTGTTTCCTATGATGATGATGATGATGACTCTTCTTAACGTGTTTTCTGTTCTGTATATTTTGAATAATAAATTTACGTTTTGAGATAAAAAACCAACAAAAAAAGAAACACATTGATAATTTATTGTAGATTTTGATGTCGTCGAATGCTTCTTCATCAGGCATCGAAAGTGATACAGATAGTTCACCTAGTGTAATTTTATTATTACTGCTTGTTGTTTTTGTTTATTATTTTTATTTCTTTTATAGTTTAATGAAGATAAAGATAATCAATCCATATCTGATATAAATAATACTAACGATGACTCAATTAATACATTAATTAATGATAATGATGATGAAGGCTTTATTAATATGAATTTTGAAACAAATGAATCAAATATGATGTCTGATACTAAGAAGCAATCTAATGAAAATCTTAATAGTGAACCAATAACATTGAGTACATCGAAATCAATTCATAACAACAAGTCTTGTCATTTTCCGTATTCGACACGAAATCCATATGATGATGGTTAGTTCATTTTATTTTGTTATGGCTTTTGTAAACATTCAAAACCTAATATTCCTCAAGAAATAATTACAATATGACAGCAAAGCCTCTCGATAGTTTTTACAAGTAATTAACAGATAGTCGACAGCAATCAGTCTAGTAGAAAGTGTTTGAGCAAAACTATCTTATCAAATTTCACATGAGCGGCGTAAAAAGGGGAAGACTAGTCCCTCTTACATCGAAACTCATGATAGAAAACATGTCTCAAATATAAGAAAAATTTTCAAACCATGAAACATGTGCTTGTTTTAACTGAAGAATTAACGTTAAGGGAAAGAAGCCACGATTTGACATTTAGCAGACAGTACATTCATGTTTCAAATCAAATCAATATTTTTTATTCTGATTATTGGACTCTCGTGAATAAAATTTACTATTAATTTGGTTTATCGCATTGTGCAGACAGTCAATCGTATATGACAGTGTTTATTTTAGTATAGGAAATCATTAACTCATATAAACGATGTCTAATTACTCACCTTAAGGTTTATTTGTTGTAAATCAATAAAAACTATGTAAAAAACTAATCTCCACGAATTAAAGTTACAACGAATGTTGCAATTACGATTTTATGTGAATCTTACTAGTCTACCTGATTTGATTATTCCAGTTTGGCGACTAATTTTCATTTGAGTAATATTCATAATATTTTCTCAAGTTACTTATTTAATTGTGTACAAAGAAAAAAAAACAGAAGCATGTAAGATAATCTAGTTTCTTCTTGAAAACCTTTGCTTCGAAATTTCAAGTATTATATGCGGTATAATAGAACTGGTTAAGTTCAGCATTGCAGACGATGATATTTCAACATAATTCCTGAGAAAAAAAGCTCTTTATGAAATGAATATCTTATATATTTATAGTTTTTTTTCAATATTATCAGTTATTATTAAATCTTCACCCCCCAGTGAAAAATCGATCTTGAATCAGGTACATTCACATAGCATGCAACTTTCAGCTTTATACCATGACATTTTCGAGAGACAATCATCAAAAAAGGATCAAAACTAGCTCATTTGGCAATGCGAAATTCTTTGTATACTCTCAATACATTTAATTTTTTTTTCTATGTGTAAGAGCATGTCAGACTGCAGTATATGACAAAGTTTTGTCTTAGTTTTAAGGCAGAGAAAAGGATGACATGTTTAATACTTCGAAAAACTCTCAAACAAATAATCATCTATCTATGGAAATGTATTTTTATATCATAGTAAAAAAGCTTAATTCATAAAATGGTATTGCAGCTTCACACGCTCTTTAAAACAAAAAAAGACATTCGCTAAAATGTGAAACTCCTTCGAGAATTCTGAGATGTCTGAGTGAAAAAAAAACATAAACAGAGAAAAACGATGAAGAAAATATGTCGGTTTTTCCTGGAAAAAAGCATCTTTTTTAAGCAGAAGGTGACGGAAATCATCGAAAATTTTTGAAAAAATGCCGCATCAAAATAAAACATTATACTGTTCGTGATAGAACCTGTATCAAGTAATCCTGCTTTGTATTTATCTTAGTTTCAATAAATCAGACAGAAAATGAATTTTTTGGGACCTGCGAACTTCAGCATGTTTAAAGAGCTCGTCTTCTATTGTCAGTCTTATACAGTCATAGTCATTTATCAATGTGACCAACTGTTATTTAATTAAATTCTTTAATTGATCAAAATTTTCTTTTTTGTTTTTAGATACATCTCCGCCTTCTGTTGCTGAAGATTGGGACGAAGAATGTAAAGTCATCGAACCTTATTGTAAGTAAATTTATTTCTATTTTTTAATTTTTCTATTTTTTGATATAGATTTTCCTGGTTACATACGTCGAGCTCAATGGCCGAATCATTGGCGCTGGACGCCACCACTCGGTATTCGTCGTACATGTACACAACAATTACATCGTAATATTGGTTTTGAACCAATCGGTCCTTATGATGATATTGATAGTTTACCATCAAACATCAATCTTCGTCATTTTACGTTTGATTTTCAATAAGAAATTTTATTATCTTTTTGTGTCAAATTTTCTTCACTGTTTTCTGTGATGTTCTAGTAAAGTATTTAATTTTTCTGTTACTTGTAAATCACTGTTTTTTTTTTACGGTGAATGTGTTCTTTTTGTTTTGTCACCTGTTTTGTTTCACACAGATATAGAAAAACGAACTTCATTTGTCAAATAGTCACTGTTTTGTTTTTGTTTTTTTTTTGTTGTTGTGTTATTGAAATATTTTTTTTGTTAGCCGAAACGAAAAAAATCTGAAAATGATTATATATATATTGAAAAGAAGCAAAAAAATATGTAATACATGACAATTTGTCAAATAACATGTGTTTATCTTTTTTTCATTAATTTTGCACATAACTAGAATGTAAATAATGCTCGTATTGTTTCATCTTTAAGCCAACCATCAACAAATTCTGAAACACCAATACGTCCTGAATGATCTTCATCTAATTTTTCAATAACGAGATTTGCTGCTGGTTCTGAACCATTAATCATAGCATTTGTAACAGAAATATTCGATGATGTTTTATGATATTCTTCTAAACATTTAAGTATACGTTGAATTTCTTTTTTTGTAACTTGTTTATCACCATTTTTATCAATAATACGAAATACAAAATCAGCTTTTTCAATCGGAGATTCTGTTTGAAAAAATTTTATACTCGTTAAATATTCAAGAAAGTCAATATAATCATCATTATTTGTATCAATTGCCGAGAAAATACAATCTGTTAAATATTTAATGTGTCTATGTTTTCCTGTTGGAATGTAATCACCTAATAATTCTTCCATGCACAGTTTTTTTAAACGACCATTTCCAGCAACTTCAAAAAATTTTATATGTTCATTACGAATTTCATCATCACTAAATCCTGTTATAGCACGACAACGTGCTAATAAATCATCATCTAACGTTTTGTAAAATTCACCTTGTTTACGTAGAAGATTTCCCATCTGAAAAAAGGAAATATTTTTATATTCAAAAATTACTTTTTTATTCGTTTTCTTTATAGATATAAACATATAATTTGCATCTTTATAATATTTCTTATGAATTACATAACCGATGTCAAGAAGTGCAGGCTTCATGTCTCGTATATAATCACGATCTATTACTGTGGTTGCATGTGCGCAAATAGAGAGAAGACAGCTGCTTTTTTTTTTTTCTGTCGTTCTTTATCGTAAAGGAAAAGAATACTATTCTTCGCTTACGCACATAAAACTAAATCTTAGTACAAATAAAAAGAATAGAAAATTCAAAATAAGAAAAAAACGACGTAATTAAATACACCGTGCATGACTCATATTTTACGTACAGTCAAATATTATCTCATTATACTGAAAACTCTAACTTTAATTCTGAATGAAAATATCCCACTCATAGAAGAATAGATTTCTGAGAAATATAATATATTAAACAAGAAAAAATTGTTTTAATTTTCTATTAGTTATTAAATTTTTTTTTTCGAATAACTAGATTTTAGCTAAAGTATCGATGTCAAACAAGCTCTCTTGTATGATGACATTGTGAGATTATTGTCTACCAATGAACGATTTGCAACTTTGTTGATACGATTGACGTGAAAAAAAAGAGAATAGATCGAGAGAATTTTCACTCGATACTGATGATACACAGGAAAAATTATCCAATAATTGGTGAGCCGAAATACGTCTTATTTCTGTGTAATTCTAATGTAAATATATGTTACGTAACGAAAAAAACATTGTAATAGTTCACTGAAACTAAATAATAAAACTACTATTTAACCCATAATATGTGTTTGAAATAAAAGATAAAAGAAGAAGTTTTTCGCAATGAAACGAGTCAGATGGTGTAAAAATATGATACCATTTGATTCATTATTGTTTAATATATCCGATAAAAGTATTATTCTAACCTTCAGAATAAAAAAAATGTTCTTCTACATTTTGTCATATTATGTAATTTTTTTGAACAGAGAAAGAGGATAGAAGTTTGAATTTTTTAACTAGTTGTACAACTCTAATAGGTACACCTACGGTATAAGTTTAAGTGCAAAAAAACTGAGTCGTTCATGAACTATTCACACGGTAATTTTCAAAATGTCCTTCGACAAAGTGAGCCAATATTGAATTCTGAATGAGGAATCATTTTTTTGCTGTAAGAGAAAAAAAAGCTTGTTAGCGCAGCTCGTTTGGGGTTTAAATGTGGAACTCACAAATGCTCTCTAGCCTCATTAAACTAATACAAAAAATGTGAAGTGAAAAATCTCTCGTAGACTATAGTTGTTTTGCAGGATAGTCAATCACTAGAGTAAGAATCTCTCTAATTTCTGCATTTCGAACAGAATTTTTAAATTTTTTTCTTCGAGCGTCCTACTTCTTGTTTGCATTGTTGCTATTTGTTCATTACTTTTCATTCTTTTAAATTCATTTTTCTTAATTTAACATTCTTATTATTATAATCATTGAACTAATTGACAAATAAGTCTGTATTACATATTCATGATATCTACAGCAGATCTTACGCACTATCATATATATTAATCAATTCACCAATAAAGATATTCATTGTTTTTCAAAATTATAACTTGATCTATTTTGCAAAAAAAAATAACTCTAGAAAACCTGACGCCTATTATTCTCGATTGCTAACGTCTGTAATGTGGAAGGGGAGTTGCAAAAACTTGAAATTAAAACGTATACTCACTATTTTCTTCGAAAATATATATGAGTTTCATAAAATTGTTTTGGAAAAATGTTCTTTTTATTGGTAGTTTTTCCGACTAATTTTTTTTTTCATTACAAGCTTTGTTATGCTTCAACTTTTATGTATTGGTAGAAATTTCTAGTATGCTTTCATTGTACACAAGAATGATGAAGTGTTTGTCATAGAGTGTGACGCATGAATGATCATAGAAAGAAACGGATATAATCGATAAAAAAAAATGTTTCAAGAGAAAATTGCACATTCTACAAAATCGATTATTCGTTATTTTTGTTTTTTTTTCGTTTCTTTCGATGTTTCTAAAATTTCGTGTTTTCTATGTACGTGCCGCTAAAAACATACGTCTTTTTCACAGTGTATAGTTTACAACTCAGAGAAGGCATAAGCTAAAAAACTGAAATTTGTCTCCACCAAAGATCGCTTGAAACGAAATAATATATTTAAAAAAATTGCCTAAGTGAAAACATTTTTTATAATTTATTTTCTTCCTACAGAGTAAAATCTCGCTATTATGTTGAAAAGTCTATAGTTAGCTCAAGCAAATTTTGCTAGCAATGAGTCTCTCAAATATGAGCCCCTCCTTATTCTGAGTAGTGAACTCTTTTATCTGGTTCTATAAACAATAACAACCTCTGTAATATGAGTAATATATGTTCTATCGCTCATGTGTAGAAAGAGAAAAATCTGATGTTATATATATTGCATAATAATAAACAATCACGGGGCACATATTAACACAGGATTGATTAGCTACGGTTATTTATTAAAAAAGAAAACAATATTAGACGATAGCGATAATGTTTGGTATAAGATCTGGTCGTTGTTTATGTTAACAACTAGTAACATAAATATTATGTGAACATGAGTTGATTTACGTCTGGTTAAAAAAGTTGAATTAATTCATTGTTCGAAAAAAGAACAAGATCACCTTGTGCAATTGAAAAACGATTACAAATGAATGCGTATAGATTGCAAAAACGAAACTAGAAATCGCTCAATAATGAGCATCGTCGTAAGATGAACACTTTTGGCCGGTCTCGATGGTGCCTGTATTAGAACGATTTTTACTTTTGTCTAACTTTTAATGATACAATGTAAGTCAAATATCTTTCTATTTAAAAATGACTATGTGATTCAAATCAATTTTTTTTAGAGCATTTAATTATTATAATAATTCTATCGGTATTAAAATGATTTTCTATCGCTTGTATAGGATCATCTGCAAGTTTTATTCTTGATATTTAGTTCCATCATATAATTTATTTAATTTCAACGACGCCATTTATTTCAAACAAATATGATTTTACCGAAAATATTCATCATAATTACAATACAGGTGTTTTTGCATGAATTTTAGGTTGCTAGAAGACTGGCAGATAATTGAATTTTCGATTATGATTTAGCTTTTTTTTCTATATTACATGATGCATGTGCATTATGTGTTGGTATGGATAAGCTTGCATGATAAACTTTATTTCTAATTTTAATTAGAAAACAAACTTTAATATTCTTCTACGCTTGTTTTTAACTATGCGATGAAATCTATTACTTGAAAAAAAATTATTAATATAATCAAAAAATGTTTTCTTAATCATTTTTATTATTATGTTATATGACATTGTTTTGTATCCTCAAACAGATCAAATATTGAGTATGATTACCAAAAAATAAAAGAAATTTAATAGATCACGACATACATACCTAATCGATTATATAATTGTCAGGTTAAAGCGTTTTATAGCAATATTCTTTTTGCATCCGCTCACATTTTATTCGTTGTTTATTTTTTTTCTTTTCTTTCTCCTTTCGTTCTTTTGATATTGTGTGCAAGGTTTATAGTATGAATGATATTATTATTCATTTTTTTATGTGTGTTGTTTTTTTCGTAGACTGATGACGAACGAAACATCAGAATTGATATCAAAACCAAGTGAAACAAATGTTCACCATCGTCGAAATCGAACTAATCAATCGACTTCTAACGTGCCACAATCTGAAAAACCATCTACTGAACAATTAATAATTCCACGACTAATATCATATTTTACATATAAAACACCAGATAAAATTGATACTAATGATAATAAAAAAGAATATAAAACCAAATCAACACAACGTCCATGGTTATGCAGAAATTTATGTTGTAAATTATTTTTCATTATTTGTCTAGTTTATTTAATTATGTTTTTACGACCGGATATTTCAATTAATATACGAAATTCAATAGAAGAAATTTTAAAAAAATTAAATTTAACATCTGAAGAATTTCAACTTCGTCCTGGACAACGTTTAGCACAATATCGACAACCATCAATGCCAATTATTATTATACCAGGTATTGTATCAACTGGTTTAGAATTATGGGAAGGAACAGAATGTGCAACAGGACAATTTCGTCATCGTTTTTGGACATCAATGCAAATGGTTGATAATATTGGTCGAGATCATCAATGCTGGCTTAAACATATATCACTTAATCTTTCAACTTGGTATGTAGAATAAAAAAAAAAGACTTATGACAAAGATGATCTTAAATTTCATTTTATAAGCATTTGTTTCTATTAACAAAAAAAAAACAATGCATTATGTCAAAAATAATGAATTAAATTTCAACTTTTTTTTTTTTTATATAGGAGAGATCCAGAATCAATCCGTCTTCGACCTATACTTGGGTGGGCTGCAGCTGATTATGTGTACGTCAATTTTAATAACTAATTTTATCATTTTAATATTTCTTTCGACTACTTAGATTTCCTGGGTATTGGTTATGGAGTAAAGTAATACATAATTTAGCTGATATTGGTTATGATCCAACCAATTTAGTAACACTCGGTTATGATTGGAGATTACCACCACAATTTCTTGAAGAACGTGATGGTTATTATACACAATTAAAATTTTATACAGAATTTCTTCGGTAAATTGGTTTATTTGTAGAATTTTTATTTGTTATTTTTCTTTTTGTTATAGAAAAAAACATGGTGAAAAAGTTGCATTATTAACTCATTCAATGGGAGCTAATTATGTATTTTATTTTTTTCGATGGGTTACAGAACAAGCAGGTGACCAATGGATTGATGAAAAGTTGAGAAAGAAAAAAACAACGCCAAAATAATGTTTTATATAATTAATTGATCTCTGTTTGTTTGTTTTTTTCTTATAGTGTAGCAACATTTCTTGATGTTGGTGGACCATTATTAGGTACCCCGAAAGCATTTAGTGCTGTTCTATCTGGTGAAATGAAAGATACATCGGTATTGGGTGATGTTGGACGAAATATTCTTGGTAAAGTTGTTGGTAAACTTATTGTATTTCCAAGATTTTTTCGTGCATTGGGTAGTATACCAGCAATGTTTCCGCGAGGTAAATATATTATTTTGTTAATATGTCTTTATCTTTTTTTTGTTCGAATTAATATTCTACATTTAGGTGGAAGTGATGTTTGGAAAGAATGTTATGGAACAGAAAAAAATACATTTAAACATATGCTTACATTTCCTAAAGGTCGTTATAAAAATTTTGCAAATCAATTACGAAAATTACGTGAAACATGTGAAGAAGAAATTGATTATGATCATGGTTTTGATGCTATACTTGAAGAAATTTATGCTAAACCAGAATTAGTTGAAGATATTCTGACAAATAATCATACAGTTGAACAATTTTATGATGTTTTAAAAATAATGGCACCACGTTATATGAATTTAGTTAATAAATATTATCATTTAGATGATACAATAGATACAGATAAAAATGAAAATAAAAAAAATAAATGGAAATCAGATTCAAGATATTGGACAGATCCATTATCGACACCTTTACCAAATGTAACAAATCTCAAAATTTATTGCAGTAAGATACTTGTTTTTATTATATGGTTATATTATACTGGTCTCTATCCAGTAAAGAAATAAAAAAAGAAAAAGTACATCATATACAGTTAATAGGAAAAAAGAAGAGAGAGAGTCTAAGATTATACATGAAATAGTTTCAATCGTGAGCATAGAAGGCAAATAAAAAAAGAAATCAAAGCTCAAAAACATGGACACATCGTTCACCAAGAGAGCCGGAACGATGAGCACGAATACTTAAGCATGCTAAAAATGAAGGTAAACATGACGTCTATTGAAAGATCAATGAATAAATACGAGTATGATGATGAGGATGTTTTTCTTAATATTTTGTTCATTCTCATTTGCACAACTAAACCTACACATTCCTACTCTTTACTATCACGATTTTGCGTGCTGAACTTTCCTCGTGCTCATCGTTAACCGCACGATCTAGTATAACATTAATTCAAACGCATATTCGCCGTCTTAACAATTGCGATACGCATTTCGCTTGTAAAAGACTGTGAAAAGATCCACTGATAAGCTGAATTTCCTGAAAGTGTCTCTGGTAACGATATAAACGATTCGAATAACATATATTCACCTGTAATAGTAAAAAAAGGATAGGACTACTTAGCTAAACTGTATGAAAGTTTTAAATTATAACAAAAAGCTCTATGAAGAGTTTCCTCAGTTACGAAATAATAGAATAGAAAGGAAAATGGAAAAAGTACGAACGAGAAAAGTAAAAATAAAGTTATAAAAAAAACTGTCGATATGATTAAACAAGATTTTAAGCATGAGAATTCGAGATCGAATGTTAGTCAAAATATGAAATTTCTGATATTAATTTCATATCCAAGATATTGAAAATTCTTAACATATATTAAACGATATTGTTCATAAAAAAAGTGTGAGATCAGAGATTCTAATTTAACAATCCGAAAGATAATGAACTGTTTTTTCTAAGATTTAAGTCAACAAGTCATGTTTTGCAGTAAAGATTTTATTTGTTATTCATATAAATATAACAGAAAATCAAATTAAATTGGTTTTAACAAACAGACATTGTGTTTTATGCTATTCATAAGTTAAAAACAGTTATAGATTGACGATAATTCTATTTAAAAATAATCTGTTACACAGGTTTTAATTAGAAACCTAAACTTTTGCATTCTTTCTACATTATAATAAAATATTTTTATGCTAATGACTTTTTTTTTACTTATTTCCAGCGAAAATTAATATTGTTAAATTGCACATTTTAAATCTTATCAAAATGAACCTGTCATATTCATGATAGTATTATTTTCTTTTTGCTAGTGTATGGTTATGCCCAAGAGCCAATGACTGAATGGTAAGAAGTTTTTCCTTGTATATTTTCTTAACCTATTATTTCATTTTATTTTATTTTTCAGTGGTTATTCCTATGGTTTTTATTCTCATTCAGATCATTGTTCAAGTGCTCTACTTCTTTTTAATACTTCTCATACGGATCCATCTGCACGTATTAAATCAGGTGTTTTTCTTGGTCCAGGTGATGCAACTGTTCCACTTGTTTCACTTGGACATATGTGTGCGGGTCCATGGAAACAATCTGGTAGTTATCATAATCCTGGACATGTTCAATCAATTATACGTGAATACGTTCATAAAACAACAACATTTGATATATTAACAACACGTATTGAAGATGCTTTACGAGGTGGTGAATATGCCGTAACACATGTTGAAATACTTGGTAATCGTGATTTTTTAACTGATTTACTTATTATTGTATCAAAACCGATTATTGGTACAAATCAAAGTCAATTAATAATCAATGATAAGAATATAAATGAAGATCAAATTTATTCGAACATACGTCAAATAAGCGATAGAATAATGAAACGTCATAAACGCAATAATTAAACAAAAATAAACGTTTCTTTTTATATTAGGTATCTCTCTTTTGGTTATATCATATGGACTTTATTCATTTCTCACTGGTCTTTCGTGTTCTTTTTTTTGTCTTTATTTGTACTCATATGTAGTTATCATAATACTGATCATAAACAGATTCTTTTTCCATCTATCCTAAATGAATTATATTATTGTGAACTTATCCATATAGAAATGAATATTATTCTTCTGTTTAAACGTTCAATCACTTTGTTTTCCTTTTAGGTCTTTTTTTAGATGAGATCAAACATCATTCGAAAGGTATTTAGTTTTTAGTATTTACAATGTTTCAAAATAAGTTTGTAGATTGCTATAAGTAATTGTTTTTTTTTCAATAGGATAATATAGAGCAGTGTTGTTTTTGTTTTCTGTTACATATAATTTATGATCAAATATAAAGTGTACATATATTAAAGTATCAACGTTTAGGAGATGATGGAAAAGCAATTAGACAAAACATTCATTCATTTTTAGCCTTTTTAAGAAGGTTGCAGAAATTTGAAAATATCTTGTTAGAATCAGAATTTTGTGTTCTGGTCGAATATGATTTCAAAATTTTGGTAAAACTTCTGGCTTGAGAATCATAAGTTGACTTTTCAGAGGCACGATACTTGAGCTTGGACGAAGAAAATTTATGTTTTATGCTGCTATAATCTCTTTTACTGCATAGACTACATTACTGATTTTTTTGTATAGAATTGAAGGTAGGAATGTTTTCTACAAAATGACATAGGAATCAAGAGTTCAAGAATAATCATTCAGAAAATATTAAGCTCACATTGTAAATCTATTATGCATACTAATTGAGAAGGTTTCCTGGATTGACACGATGTCTTGTACCAAAATACTTGCTGTTAACAAATGGCTTAAAGCTAATCGGTCATTAATATACCATTTGAATGAGAAATATTTACTCCTTCATTCGCTGTATTTGAGGTCAGCTTTGCTTCTACTCTTGGGTAAGTTTTGACGCGAATACGTTCATCCCAACTTAATTTATGAGCCTCTAAAATGTCGGCTCATAACTCCTAAACTAAAAACCCTACAAAAATTTTAAACTCATATTGAGATAGAACACAAAATTTTGCAGCCTTGTTAAAAATACTGAAAAATGAATCATCATTTCGTCTAATTACTTTTCGATCGCCCGTTATTTTCATGTAATTAGTCTATCAAATCAAACAAACAAAAAGAAATATGTGTTATTACATGTACTCAGTCATTGAAGTTTATAAAGCTTCATTCATTATGTTTTAGATTGAAAGGTCTAAAACATGATGATGTATTGTTTCATGCTGTTCAATTTATTCGAATAATTGTGCAATGATTATTTTTTTTGTTAAACGTTAGAATGCGGCTAAAATAATTACTAAAATGTGAAAAATATCAAACAATTAGAAACAGTCAATACAGTATTAAATGTAAAAAGCTTTATGTAGACTATGGTAAAAGTTTGAAATATTCTATTTTTATTCTTTAAATTTGTTCTTCATAGTTTATGTTGATATGTGCAGTTGTTGGCATATTCAAACAACTGATGAATATTTTTCAACTTATTTATTATATCACCATAAATAGAATTTCTTTTACTACTTTCACAAAACTTGAGTTATTATAGAAGATTGGAATAATATATATATATACGTCGTTTCTATTCCTGGCAGTAGTAGAAAATAAAAACAAAATGTCGACACTTGTCATACTCGATTACGATTGACATTATTATGTTCTTGTGAAACAATGATGATGACCAGTGCATGATTTATATTCAAAGCAAAGATCAAACAAAACTTGATTCTTTTTCTTGTTCTGATATCATCAATTGAAATTGACTTACAAAAAGAATCGCTAATCATCAAATATGTATCATGACTTTATTTTTATACGATTTGAAATATACTTTACGTTCTATATTTCTATGTATATCGACATATCTAATGCCTGGATAAATATCAAAACTTTGCCATATGTAAACTGAATACATTGAGATCATTATAAATAACGAATAGCAGTAGGTAACCAATCAAAAAAAGATATTTTCTGTCGTCAATCCAATTAAAGATACTGTGGTCAAACAACAGTCATGCATGAAAAAGTTAATAATATAGCTTGCTTTAGTTTAAGTGAAGTAAGATTCGTACAAATGAAATAGTAGCAATACGTGGCATTTTTTTTAGAGCAGAAAAAGATTCAAGAAACTTTTGGCAAAATTAATCTCAGACGTGTCTCATCTGAACTTGGTCAGCTAAAGTGCGTGTTTAATCTAAACACATTATTTTCTTTTGTCAAATCTAGATGGTAAATCATTGCTGATCATGTGCGAAGATGTCAATCGTAGGTATCGGATATTCCTTCAAGTACTAATCGGTGGTTTCAAATAATCTGATCATGAATGCAAATTAAGACAACAAATACTTGAAGAATTTTATGAAATGAAAACAGATTCAATCAAAGTTGGCTAATGTTTCTATGCTGTGAAATCATTTTATAGTTAAGTTATATTTCTTTTTTCCAACTCCTCGATTGTTAAATTAGTAGTTTTATTCTTCATTAAAATTTCGGATTTTTTCCTCTATTTTATTCGTCTTTTTGACTTTTTTTCCATTCTAAGAAGCAATTGACTATACATTATTTGTGACTTTACTTGTCGTACGTCACGTGCTCTTGATGTTGACAAAAATAGAAACATTTATTTTATATACTCCTTGCACCCCTTGCGCTAAATGAAGGACGAAAAAGAAACATGAGATGGGGCACAAAAATATTCTAGATAGAATGGAAGTTATAACGCAGAACCCCTACCCTATAAAAACATGCTTTTTCGTCTTTACGTTCGAAAATGTCTCGAGATAGTATTATAACTCCCTCACATCAGGATAAGCCGTTTGAATAATGACTACTAAAGACACATAAGTTTCGGATATGGAAATTAAATATACACAAATTTTTATTAATAATGAATGGCATAAAGCAGCAAATGGTAAAACATTTCCTGTCTTCAATCCATGTACAGGAGAAGAAATTTGTCAAGTAGAAGAAGGTACCAAAGTAAGTACATAATTACGAACGTTTCTTTCAATCTAATATCATTGCTTTTCTCTCCCTCATAGGCTGATATTGACAAAGCAGTCGAAGCCGCTAAGAAAGCTTTCGATTTCAAGTCACCTTGGCGTAAATATGAACCTGCTGAACGTGGTAATTTGCTACGTAAACTTGCAGATTTACTTCGACGTGATGTCGATTATTTATCAGTAAGAAATTTGCATTCTTTTTTTGTCACTCGTAACACTATTGATTATTTAGAAATTAGAAACATTGAATGGTGGAAAAGTCATGACTGATAGCGTTGGTGAAGTTTTTGCCTCAGCTGCTTGTCTTGATTATTGTAAAGAATGGTGATAATCTATTTCTCTTTGCATGACAGTAATATTTTTCAGACGCTGGATGGGTTGATAAGATTGCTGGTGAAACACTTCCATCAGGACCAGGTATTTTTACCTATACTCGACATGAACCAGTTGGTATTTGTGGACAAATTATTCCATGGTTAGTATAACTATTTTATATGTATATAAGTAATTTATATTCCTTCATTTTTTTAGGAATTTTCCAGTAAGGTTCTCATTTCTCATAAATTAGCATTATGGAATAACATGTATTATATTATTTTCAGCTATTCATGCTAGTCATGAAACTTGGACCAGCATTAACTTGTGGTAAGTTAGTAGGTCATGTTAAATCATAATAGTTTATATGTTTTACTATTAAATAGGCAATGTTGTGATTCTTAAACCAGCTGAACAAACACCACTTACTGCACTTTATTGTGCTTCTCTTATCAAAGAAGTAGTTTTCAACATTTGAATCAAATTCTCGAGTCTATCTTTCCATGATGTTCTAGGCTGGATTTCCACCAGGTGTTGTTAATATTGTACCAGGTAGGTACATATATATAATGATAATAAGAAGAGCTGTCTAATAATATTTTAGGCGATGGACCTAACTGCGGTCATGAAATCGCTGTTCATGAAAAAATTGATAAAATAGCTTTTACAGGTTCAGTTGAAGTAAGAATATTAAAGTAAAAAATTACCAGATATATTCATTATTCTTATGTAGGTAGGAAAAAGAATTCAACAAGTTGCAGGAAAATCAAATCTTAAACGAGTTACACTCGAACTTGGTAAATGGAACATTGAAACATACGATAACTATTATCTTTTTGTTCAAAATAGGTGGAAAATCACCATTGATTATCTGTGAAGACGCTGATTGTATGTATCATAAATCATCATCATTTATGTCTTCAATAAGTTGTTTTTGTCAGATATCATCATATATATATTGAAATAATATCGAAAAATCCGAGACCTATCTTTTATATATGATAAAAAGAACAATTTACCAAACTCCTTAGGTTTTAGCTTGTGGAATATCTTTTTTAATTATTAGTGGATCTTGCTGTTACAACCGCTCATAAAGCATTCTTTACACATGCTGCTCAAGTCTGTTTTGCCGCATCACGGGTGTTCGTTCATTCAAAAATTTACGACCAATTTGTGTCCAAAAGTGTAGAATTAGCTAAAAAACGTGTTGTTGGTGATCCATTTGATTCGAAAACAGAACAAGGACCACAGGTATACCCAAAAGATATACATAGTGGTGTTCAAATAGTTAATTAAAAAAAGTTCTGCCGACTGCATGATCTATTAAATACTAAATAATTAATAGATTGATATTATTTTCTCTAATTTCTCTCTCATAGATTAACAGTACTCAATGTGAATCAATTCTTCAGTACATTCAATCGGGTAAAGAGGCCGGTGCAAAACTTGAATGTGGTGGTGAACGAATTGGTGATAAAGGCTATTTCATTCAACCAACTATCTTTAGTGATGTAAAAGATGATATGAAAATAGCTCGTGAAGAGGTTTTACTTTTGTTTATTGTTGATAAAAGAACAAGACTCTAATGTTTATTTAGATTTTTGGTCCAGTAATGTCAATATTTAAATTTGACTCATATGACGAAGCAATTAAACGTGCAAATGATACACATTATGGTCTAGCTGCTGGTGTTATAACAAAAGATTGTAAGTTGAATAAGTATTTGGAAGATAGTAATACATAAAGTATTTATATTTCAGTGGCACGTGCTCTACAATTTGTCGAACAGTTGGAAGTTGGTTTCGTATGGGTCAATCAGTACAGTGCCATTCAATTTCAAGCTCCAATCGGTGGTTTCAAACAATCCGGCTATGGACGTGAATTAGGACGATATAGTCTTGAAGAATATTGTGAAGTGAAAACAGTTTCAATCAAAATTGACTAAAGATTTTCTTTATTAAAGTATATTTTATTGATGAAAAATATGTGTATTTTTGTTTTGTTTATTCAAAACCATTTTTACTACATCATCCTTCAATGCATAAACTCGGTTGTTAATAATTTTTTGCTTATTTAATAATTACGTTGTTTCGCAATGCTTCTGTGACCTACATTGTATACATATATATATCAGTTTCCCAGAAAGAAAAAATCTACCATTTCTATATCTTTTTTTCGTCATCGTGATGCTATTAAAAAGAGAGATAATGTGTAGCGTGTAAAAAGAAGAAGAAAAAGGGTTTGTACTGGCGCACAAGCGAAAGAGAACGGGTAGGCAAAATGCGAGCGATGTATATAAATCTCTTTTTATTAATATAAGATTGCGATGACTCTATTATCTCGTTACTTGTGAATCAAAATACATTGATTTTACCATTTTCACGGGGTTTTTTTCTCGCATTGTTTTTCAGATGCCGTCAACTGATTCAAAAGCTCCTAACGTGGAAATTAAATATACACAAATTTTTATTAATAATGAATGGCATAAAGCAACAAATGGTAAAACATTTCCAGTTATCAATCCNACGACTTTCTTAGCGTAGATCAAGACGACGAGTTCGAATCTGAGCTGTATTCGCCTCCAAATCATATTGGGTGAGCAATAGCCAACAAAGTCAAGTGTTTATAGGAAAGATATGCCAGGATAATTTTGATGTCCACACATCCTAGGATGACTCATCTGTCTAATTCACTTTTTGAAGTACACATAACTCTCGGATTTAAACCCGAGGTTTCCACATTTATTGTATTTTGATTAAAGTTTTTTCAATACAATCTATGAGGAAGACTTATTATGCACCAATTTGTAGAGAGAAGCTTGCTCTAAAAAAATGTTCCATTTCTTTCTCGTTTTACATCTTGCTTTACAGGACCATAATCTAGTGCGATTTTATTATTGAAGTTCGAAAACAATAATTATTTTTTTTAAAAAATACCATGTCACGTTTTGAGTATCTCTTCAAAAGAAATGTTCATTGTTTTTTATTTTTTTCTGTGCCATTTCATTGTAGCTAATAATCTTGATGGAAACTAAATGCTCTATAATAATAGAAGATCAAAAATATTCCAACATATCATTAAGCAGGCTTTTAAATGACAGAAAAAAAACGTACTTTGCTTGGTGTTAACAACGTCTTTCATTTATTTGCGCATTTGCTCACAACGAACTAGTCTAAAGTTAAAAACGAATTCTGAACATATATTTAGAAAGAACATAATACGGTCATTCCATTCTACTACTTTTGATTCTCTCCAATAACTTATACGCGGTCGAAACTTAAACAAACATGCTGTACAAAGACTTCTTAGAAATGGGCTAAAATAATTATGAGTATTCTAATTACGTATACTCGAAGAAATTCGATGTAATAGATTTTATATTATTATCTACAAGAATAAAAAGCAATGTTTTTGGTAATATAATTTAGTTTTCAGTAGAAATTTGTACTAGAAAAATTCTTTAAAATTACAAGATACGATTTATTCAAATTTTTATTTAGACGATATGAAGCAAATGATAGCATTTGTTAGTTTTTCGCTTATTTATAATAAATTTTATATACTATTTAATTTGCGATGTATTTTGACAAAAAAATTCTACACAAGTTTATATTTATTTCAGTTTTAGTCACTTATTATTCGTATTATGAGTTCATTCATATCGTATTGAAATCAGAATAATTGAAACATTTTCTAATTCAGTTTTTGTCTTTTATTCAGACAATGATATAAACAAGCGTGTATGTCTTCAGTAAGCGATACGGAATGCCCAGCTCTTTCATATTTTAGAGGCTATGTGTAATATTAGTACAATGGCTATTTTGTATGCATATATGAAAATGGATAGCTTGTCTCAACCATGTTTTTACCTGTATATTGATTTAATTTGTCAATGCTTATTTCTAGTACTGGAAAAAATGTTGGTGACTTTATTGGCTATTTTAATCGGTAATATGATGGTTGTTCCTCACAGCCTTGCTCTCCGAGCAGTTGAGGGTTGATGACGGTGGTGTTGGTGAGTCTTCACATGAATAATCAGAGTCCTGGGAGCAGCTCTCTGTGGGGGGGGGGGGACAAGTGCACGCAGAGCAACTGCCACGAGAATATCTATCATGAAGTCATTTTAATCATCTTTCTTCATTTCTATTTTTCAATCATACTTTATTATGATCACAAACAACAGTCAATTATTTAATTAATGAAACACAAGTAAAATATTACAAAAAACGTTCTCAAAAATTTTCATATCGATATCAATTGGAAAATATTTGGAACTTTTTTTCCTATCTTATTTGATAAAAGATTATATGTCGAATTTTATCCATCATGCTTATTGACATGTCCGATGGAAGAAGTCAGCCGATAATCTAATATACGTTGCTGATGTTATATCAACAAATGGCAACAAAATATTAACATGTGTGATTTTGTTCCTTAGCATTTATTGTTGGCTTAAATACACACTGAACATGAGAAAATGTTTTGAAGACCCATTTCACAAATTGAAGTCTACTACTGCAGCGATAACAAAAGAACTTCGGCCTGCAGCACAAATACCAATAATAATAGTATGCAATGCATTATCTATAATTAAAACAGTTCAGTTTGCTTTTTTGCTACTTTTATTATTATTTGTTCCTGGTATACTAGATTATTTGAAACAAGGATTGATTAAATTTGCGAAGTTCTCTTAAACTTTTTTTTTTTCTTACTGTTTTATCTTTGTTTTTCTTATGTATGAAATAAAGATGTTTGTTGATCTATATAGTCAAACAAATAAAACTTTTCATTAGATGAAAAATGTTTAGAGATGTAGATGTGTCTGTGTGAGCGCTAGGCATGTGTTCTACTCACATCCTTTAGCAACATCTTAACATGAAATGAAAATTTACAAAAAATTGAAATAAATATACAAACCTAGAGAAATTAAACATAATTTATAGAACTGTTGATTCATATTGTTAATTATTTGATATATTGATGTTGTTTTTGAGAAAAATATTTGCTACGTAATTAATCGACATGTCCGTCATTGTTAGGAAAAAACACGATGAATTAGTGATGAGAAATAATTTTAAGAAACTCATGATTATGCTAATAGCGAGAAAAATTCAGAAAACCTCATTTGATCTAACTATTCAAAACAATATTGCTTTTATACAATAAATTGGCATATATTACTTTTTGTACATTAATAACAAGTAAAGCTCGCCGTTACAGTTTGCTTTATCCTTGACTGAATATTCAGCTCTTTCTGTATAACTTACTGCTTGATAAATCCAATTAACACTCATATCAAATATATGCAAGCAGCTGGGTGTATGGATCTGAGTTTGAATGTTGATATGTGTTGGTATAGATGTAGATGTGCGTGTCCGTGTAGTTTTTCTCTTTATCTATTGAGTCAACCACACTTAAATTCACACACATGTACCCACAATCAAACGCAAGGGGAAAACAACTGATTTATGATTTTGTGATTTAAGATGAGTTAAGTTGATTTACGGTGATTTAAGGTGATTTAAGATCATCTAAAATCAATTTTTCAAGTGATTTAACATGATTTACAAATGATTTAATCTTGATTTTCAGGTGATTTAAATCAATTGTTTCCCCCTTGATCAAACGTATCCACCACTACGTTCACATACGATACCAATTTCCCCACACATTTACCAAATCAATACAGCAACACTCACATCCCCATTCACAGATGTACTCTACACACAAACTGACACACATCCTCAAGCTAGAATGCAAGATCATTCAATTGGTTGAGTGTATCGCATAAAGTAGTCATGATTGTAATTGTTCAGGCTACTCAGGTCGAGGTTTACGGAGTGCATATACGAAGTGAAACGGGAATCGTATACAATCGTTTATGACGGTGCCCTGTTCAACCTGGGTAAACTTACAGCAATACACCTAAACATGTGACTATTTACGGGCATGCAAAACCACAAGACCAACAACTCACTTTATCACATATCACCTTCCTTGTAGTTCAGAGAAGAAGAAACTTATATTCATTACTCACTACATTCTAATATATACTTTCAACAAAGAAGCAAGTAATAGCAGAAGAAAAACAATGTCTGTGTAGTATGAAAGAGATAGGAAAGTATATATCACATTTTTTATATGATGATCAATGTGTCGATTTTGATATCTATAGAAGAAGAAAAAACGAGACAGAGATAATCTGTTGATCTTCAAATTTTATGATGCATATACAATAAAACAAAAATTGGCTTACCTTTTTTTTCTGTGTTTGATGAACAAAAAATTATTCAGTGAATTAAAATAATAACAAAGAAATGTTTTTTATAAACAAATATACGAGAAACAATTTGTTGTAATAGCTAGAATCAGAATTGTGTAGACTTTTTTTGTTAACAACTTTTTCACTAAGTTTTTTTTTTTGATGAAATGGGATACAATGATAGATTTACTTTTTTTTTTTTCAATTTAAGTATACGAAAATAAGCATTCAAAACAAGCAAATAAAGGGTTCAAAACTATGTGAGAATAAAAATTAATAATAATAATAAAAGAAATGAATAATTATGAGAAAAACTACTGTTATATTGTTGTTGTGATTTTTGATCAAAATCATCATCAATATTAATATTCCACGTAATAGGTCGTCGCTGATGATATGATGGAATTTGAACTATCGTTGTTGTTGATATTGTAGAAATAGAAGATAATTTTTGAGTGTATGTATCATCTATTTCATCATCACTATATGCATCTTGTTCACCATAATCATAATATGAAACGGTATTTATATCATCAATTAATAGATCATCATAAACAGAAATTTTTGATGATTTCAAAGTTGTTGAACTTGTTGTTTGTATTGATGAAGTTATTTCATCTATTGAATCTTCATATGCATAATCAGCATAATCAAATTCATTATCATCTGGATAATCATCAAAACCATCAGTTAAATTTAATGTTAATCCATTGATTAATAAGGAATTCTTGGCTACTGTTGTTGTTGTTGTTGTTGACGTATTTATTCCTGGATTGAAAGTATTATAATTAAGAATTCAATTAAAATAGTTTCATTTATTTTACTCTTTGCAAGGATTATTCTTCTCAATAAGTTCTTCTTACATAGACATATGTAAAAATGTTGACTTTTTCAACGGACGATTGATTAGAAAGTAATTAGCAAATATCTCTCTAACCATATGAGAGAAAAATCCAAAACATTCAGGATAGATTCTACGACATGAACTGTAATTATCGCGATATTTTCAGTAAGATCGAATTCCAAAAAGCTTCCTCTTCAAAACCGGTCTTCTATAGATCCTGTCAAGTTTTAGAACAAAAATTTTTGTCTTACCATTATCTAAAAATGCAAAAGAAGGATCTGTAGCGTTGGGTCCTTGTAACTAGCATTCACTTGTGACTAAAAAGGTACTATACGACAAGAATGATGAAAGAGGAAGAGTTTTGCGCAAGGCTGTGTTATACATGTAACATATAAAGATTAGCTCTAGAAAATTTCATATAATAACTTTAATACAAACCTGTTGTTATTCGTTGTATATTTCTAATCATATGTGATTTCTCTTTCATTTCTTTTAATATTCTTTGTAAACGTAAACTTAATGGTTTATCATAAGTAGTTCGTATAGGTTGTCTAAAAAAGTTCAAGACAATTCTTTCGAAATTAAAAAAAAATAAGAATTCTTTTCTACTTGTTATTGAGAGAAATTGAAGTTCCTGTCCAACATGTTTCCTTAGTTGAAATAGAATGTCCATTAGATTTACATATTTGTTCTGGTAACATTAACCAAAATGATCTATAGGTTTGTAATGATTGTTTCATAGATTTAAGTTGTTGATCAAGTATAGATAATGAATTACTATATTCCTTATGAAATTTTTGATCATTATCAAATATTTCCTTTCGTATATGTATATATCCACATTGATCGATGATCTTTAGAAGAAGAAAAAAAGATTATTAGAAATATTCATACTATTCCATATTATGATACATACCTCCTTGGTTTGTATTTGATCGGAATTAAAAAGGGTCGTAAAAGCATCAGAGATCAATATACCAATAGATGATAAAGCCTTTTCAATTCCATTAAAATATATATTATTTTCAATAGAATCTAAATACATAAATAGATTATATAAGAATGATTATACTTATGATTTATATGTATATATTACCAATAAAATTGATCCATATATCATTAATTAAAGAGACATTTATAAGACAACTTTCAATAACATTTACACAATTTGATAAACAAGGTAATTCTTTTCGTCCAGAACATAAATTACAATATGAAAGTTGCATATATGAATCAATACAATGATTATCTGTTGTAACACTCTAGAATATATTTATACTTTTATCTTTCATTTAACATAACAAAATAATAACACATAAGCTTTTAGATCGAATAAAAAAAAAATATAAACTTCATTGCATGTCAATATAATTTCTTTTCTACTCCTTCATAAATTATTGATAATGTCAAGTGAATTGAAGCTAACGATTATCTTTTCTGCTTGATTGAATTTTATCTATTTGAATAAACCAATAGGTTGAACATTGATTATTAGCTCGTATATATATTTTATTTTGAAGTCAATCGATCGATAATGACTTGTGTCAATGTAGAACTTTTCACCTTTATCATGTACATCTATATGTATAATTGTATAGTGTGAAAATTAAAGGTTCATGAAGAAAAAAAACCAAAAATACAAAGGAGGTATCAAATTTTGATTGACAAACGTTGTCGCGGTTCTTTTCTATCGAAAAGAGATAAAAATTTGTACAGAATTTTTTTTATCAATAAAAATTATCATGTTTAAACTATGATAAATGACGTTTGATTTTTAATTATTTTCAGTGTACATGACAACAACAGATTCTTATTGTGATCTATTTGAAGAAAAAAAAAAACAATTCATAAGAAAATTTCTTATTCTAATGTTGTAATGTTCTATTATAAATAAGAGAAAAAAAAATTCTTCAATTCATGTATTAAAAAACGATAATTATTCATATAAATTTACAATTCAATAAATGATACACTTTTTGGTTCTGCTCAAATTCAGGTAGACAATTACGTTCATTAAAAATGATGGATGCATCTATCACTATGTCGATAAGAGAATAACATTCTTCTAAATCATATTTCAACACTACACAAATTAGTTTAATGTATTTTTTTAAATAGCCCAATCATCAGTATTCAAAATTTTATCGGAAAGAAAATAAATCTATGAAAAATATTTTTGTAGCATACCGTTAACATAACTTGAATAAGTTCATTACTTAATTTAAATAATTCATTTAAATGAAATAATTTTCCTAAATTAATCTCTAATTGATTAACAATTAAATATTGTTGATTACTAAATGGATGATATCTCCAAAGACATAATAAATATGATGGTAAGAGTGGTTTATTATTATTATTTGATGTTATTGTTATACGAAGAATATTACGAAATAATTCTTCAATATTATTTTTAATCTCATATTGATAATTTTTATATGATATTAGTAATAATTTATTAAAAAATAAATCAATTGATGAACGATAAAAATTATAAATTGTTTTATAATTATATTGTAAAATAGAATGTGTTTCATTTTGTGAGGATTCAATTAATTTTATAATTGTTTCTACATATATAGAAAAACGAAAACAGAAAAATTTTAAACTTAAAAAATTCTTTTTTTTTTTTTTTTCATTTCTTCTACTAACCATTTAATTGAACAGTTATTCGTCTTAATGATTCATATAAATTAACTGAATAAAAATCAAATAATTGATAAAGTTCAATTATTGTTGCATTCTGTATTTTATCTTCATAAATTTGTGGACAACAATAATTATTTATTAAATTTTGACATAATTTTAAACCAATAAAATCTTTTCCATATATATTTATATGAATTCCATATTTATTTAATTTACTATTTAAAAATGAGCATCGATTATTTTGTGTATAACCAATATTAATTAATAAACAAATAAGAAGTAATGAATAAAACATTGAGTTTTTCTTTCCTTTTTTTTTTCGTGTTTCTTTCTGTGATCAAATGATTGAGAATAACACAAACTGTATATTCTCTTCTGTTCTTCTCTCTTTCTCTCATTGTCTCAAGAGAAAATGATATTTATCGTCGACCGAATATATATTGTTCAGAGGGATACATATATTCTACCAACTGTTGCCTTTTCTGCTAATACAAAAAAAGAATTTCTTCTTTCATTGTATTACCACATCAATTATCTTGAATCACTCGAGACAAACGTCGGTGTTAATTCTTTGAAGTCAAACCTTATTTGACGACAAGTTAAAGGTGCTTTTTTTTTGTGTTTTTTTTTTTTCGATTTATTTGTCATATGAAAATATAGGAGTTGGTGACATAAAAAAATCTAATTGAATATTTGATTGATTATTATTGGAGCACTTCAAATCATTTATATGATCAATAAACGGAAATGTTGACAAAATTTTACCATTAAGTAATACACGTTCCACATAAATATTTGTTGGAGAATTATTATGAACATTTATTAATAAATTACATTGATTTTTATTTCGAGAGATTTTTATACGATCAAATGCGGGACTACCAATTAAATATGTTGATGAACCAGAAAGTGGATAAAAACCCATACTAGTAAATATATACCAAGCAGACATTGTTCCATAGTCATCATTACCTGGTAATCCGTCAGGTTTTGTTGTATAAGCATGATTTAATAACCATCGTGAATATTTTTGTGTAAGATCAGAACGATTAGCATAGTTAAATTGCCAGACCGAGAATAGATTATGTTCATTGCCTGGCCAATAATATGGATTTGGCAATAATGTTGTCGTCCATAGTTGTCCAAGTTGAAAAAATGTATTTAATTCTTCAATAAAATTATTTTGACCACCAAATAATTCAATTAAACGTGTAGTATTATGAGGTACAAAAAATCGATAATGCCAAGCATCACCTTCTACATATCGGCGATCAAATGTATTAAGAAATTCGATTGCATTTGATGGACAATCAAATTTGCCTGTTGTATTTTTTGGACAAAAAAAATTTGTTTTATTATCAAAAACATGTTCAAACCATGTTGCTCGTTTATAATATTCTTTTGCTTCATCGATCAAACCAGCAGCATTCATAACATTTCCAATAGCCCAGTCATCATATGAATAGCTCAATGTCAATGATGCTGAATCTTGATCCATATCATAAGGAACATATTCGTATTTTATATATGTTGATGGATCAAATCGACTATCATGTACTTGATTTTGATTAGCAACTTTTCTTAAAGCTTGAGTAACTTGTGTTAAATTTAAATAATTATCATGTTCTTTTTTCATAATTAAATCACTTATAAGTATATCAGCATGTGAACCTATCATACAACCTGTATAACCATTAGCAAAAGGCCATTTTGGCAAATCACCACCTTGCTCAACATTAATCATTATTGAATGTATTATATCGTTTGCTCGTTGTGAATCATGAAAAACAATAAACGGTATTTGTGTACGAAATACATCCCATATGGATAAATCAGTATAAACATGTTGCATATATTCAGGCTTAGTATGAATTTGACCATCAAATCCAAGATAAATACCATTTGATTCATCCCATTGTGTTGGACTTGATAATGAATGAACCAAAGCTGTATTAAATTTAATTTCAGCTTCACGGTTCCATTCAGCACTAACCTAAATATAAAAACAAAAGGATATTTAAATTTTTTTAAAGAAAACATTTTAAAGAAAATTCATACTTCAAATCTTCCTATTTCATCAAGCCATTTTTGTTGTACAATTGTTCGAATAGAATCAAATGGTTGAAACATATTTGTTTGCATATGTAAATTAGTACGAGCTTGTTCAATTGAAATAAAACTAATTCCAACATACATTGTTGTTTGTTGTTGTTCATCAGATAAAATAATATAAGCACCTGATGAACATCCATCAATTTCATTTTGTCCTTCAATTATTTGTCCATTATTCCATACACCAAACTTAGACCAATTATTTAATGTAATAACAAAATAAGTTGTTACACCACCAAAACGTGCTGAAAGTGATCCTCGAAAAAAAACCAATCCTGTTATTTCATGATTTATCGAATCAATTTTAATATGGCTTCGATTACATGCACCTGTTTGTAATGTATAACTACTATCAATAAGTATAACATGTTGTTTATTTTTTATTTTCTCATATGAATAACGATGTATACCAACTTGTTCCGTAGCTGTTAATTCAACATTAACTTTATGTGTATCAAGATAAACTTGATAATAACCTGGTTCAACAACTTCACGTTCATGCCGAAATTCACTGCGATAACCATTTCTTTTAGAAATCATTTCTTGTAAGTGTTTATTATTATTTATTTGAACAGGTATTATACCAAGTTCACCATAATCTTGTACACCAGCTCCAAACATATGTGTATGTGAAAATAGATTTATATGTGTGTCAGAATAATGATAACCACCTAAATGATTGAATACAATTGGAATATCTAAAGTATTACTAGTATCAGCACCTAAACGAAGAGCACCATATGGACTTTGAACACCTAATGGTAATGAACCTGCACCAAAACCATCACCATCTGTACCAATATATAAATTCATTGGTGGAAATTTGCTGACAGAACGTTGGTGACATAAATTAATTTGTACTATGAACACTAGGACAAGTAAAATACAGCTTCTATCCATGTTAGTTTTTATGATATGATTTTCTTTTTTCACATAAAATAAAACTAATGAGAGAAAACGTCAGCTGGAAACGATCCATTGTGTATGACATTTGGTTTTTTAGGACATCGTTTTTTTTTAGTTATAGCACAAATTGTGATTTACTGTTCTCAATTTGTATCTACTGATTAAAAGAGCTTGTAGAGAGATGAAATCCTACAAATTGGTCTTAAAAAATGTACTTCTTTTTGCAATAGACATAGCTGCAGATTAAAAAAAAAACCTATTAAATAGAAATACTTTTATTTTGAAAATATTTCAATGAAACTAAAAAGAAATAATAAGTTGATTTAGTTCTGAAATCTGTGCTGGAAAGAATATATTCTCACCAGAAAGCAAATAAAAGGGTCTCTATGTAAAAATCACTGTTGACTCTTCAAATTTATTGTAATTACACAGTTCGTAATACACTTACTACGGGAAATATTTCAATTTTTTTTCAAGGATACTTTTTCACTTTCATACGATTGTGTTAATTTGATGCTAAGTGGCTGTTATATACTTTTCTATCATATGATACTCTATTTCAGATTATGCAATAAAAAGTTTATCAATAGTTTATTCATATTGTAAAAGTCATTGAAACTCGTTATCAATGGCATCTAATTGATCATAATAAAAACTAATTCAAGTGATGAAAAAATCGGATTAGTACGATTCATGGCTTTATGAAAAAAACGCATAGTTCTGTTATTGTGCGGATACTTTAATAATACCAGCAAACTAGTAATAACTTATGTGTACTTAATTTGCAAGCGTCTAGAACTATAGTCTGACTATTTCAGACTATCATACTGTTTCATTATCGAGTTATTGAATTTTTACAAAAACAAAAATAAAAAAAATCGAGAAAATGATTTCGTTTCGGAATAGATTTCATGTATATTGTTTTGAATTTCTTTTTTTACCAACTAATAGTAGAATGTTTTCAAAAGAAAGACACACAAAGCATAGCTTTAGTCATGTTGGATGCATTTTAAAGTACTGTGTACTGTTTTAGTTGTATTAATATTTTTTTCAAACTCAGCTAATGTACACGAAGGACTATTAATAAAAAATAGCTGTTATCTGAAATCTCATGTCGCACGTTTATTTGCCCTACCAACTGGTATATCGGTAGAAGCTTGGCAATCGAAGAATATCTAACGGTATAACGCACTGTCGAATGTCGGTCAGAAGATAATCGATCGTTCAAATATCAAACTACCATCGTTGTAACGCACATGATACCGAATAGTACACCGATGTTTTACTGTCGATTTTAATCACGTGAGATCGTGGTCATTTATACATAATCAAATGCATCTCTAATTCCCTGAGAACGTTGCCGCGTCTCCTGGAATGTCAGTCTGTATAGGTAAAGAGATATTTAACATCCACATCTAAAGTAAGAGTGGAAGCGTTGTTGTCCTGAGTCACTTTCTTACCTCATTAGATAAGCCTTTGCAGCTGTGAGTAATTCTGAGGAGCTGACATGAATGCTTATTATGTAGAAGTATTAAGAATATAATAAACCATTATGCGAAAAGCTCAATTCACTTTGTAATATATTGATTGTACTTGGATAGAAATTTTGCTTTCGAAGTTGTATGAATCAAAATTCAATTAAACAATATTACTTCGTTCATAGTACACAAATCTAATTATTTATTTTTTTATTCGTATATATAAGAAGAAAAATATTATAGTCTACATTCGTATATGTATACAAATCTAAAGAATATATCATTCAATTTGTTGGTGCTGGTGGTGGCGGTTGAAATTGATTAAGATGTGTATCAAGTTTCATTCGAAACATATTTGTATAATCGATATCTTTTAGTTTAAGACGTTTAGCTTCTTCAAATAATAATAATTCTAATCGATCAGCCCATGCATTTAAATCTGGTAAATGTTGACAATCAGGTATATTAAGAAATTCATAAAAAAATTCTTTCCATATATCATGTGTACGTTTTGAAAATTTTGCTTTTGTTGTCATTGTACCATCTTGTCTTTGTTCATCTTCACATACGGTCATATAACTAAGAAAAACAAGAACATGAATTGAATAAACCATACCAAATAGATCATGCTAAAAACCAAAAAAAAAGAAATATAAATCGAATATATAAATATATTGAGAGAAATTTAATTACTTGAAAAATCCATGGACGATTGTGTAACATTTCAACACAAGCTAATTCTTTTTTTGGTACACATGTTACAAATGCTGTACCATTATCAAATAATTTTAAATCAATT